GAGTGCCTATCCGTAGCAATAGACTAGATCAGCCTAACCGAGTGTTCCCCGTCCTACCTGCCGACCGACCCCCCCTGGACCCCCCCTTAGGTCTTAAAGACGCCGTAGAATACGTACGAGGCTAACGTATAGTCAGACGATAAAAGAAGCGGATCTCTATTCATTAGAATAGCTCTCTATTACCTATGTTTGATGCCTTAGATTAACTAACGAAGGGTGCTACAGCAGTACTATATCAGGTAGCCCTCTCGCAAGCGGAGAATATGTCGCTGCATATAGCAAATAAGGCATTAAGCAAGCATCGAGGGATCAAAAGAAGCTATCTTTAGCATAGAGGCACCCTTACTATACAAGATAGGAAAGACCTTATTAATCAGAAGAAGGTTAATAAATAGATCAGGAAGAAAAGCGCATAAAGAGGCGCCCTCAGCCACCAGGCAGTCCGAAGCCTGCACGCTATAGCAAATACGCCAAAACAGGTCATAACGTACGAAGCTACCCGGAAGATATTTAAAGTCTCACTCTATCGATACCTTTATTTAATTAGTACCTTAATTAATTGTGTTATTCTTAATCGACCTTTTTGTATGTAGATGACGGGGAAGGTGCGCCGCTCGCTTGGGTGCGCCGCTCGCTTGGGTGCGCCGCTCGCATGTGGATTACGTTATGCTGCATTGCTGATCGATGTCGCAGCATACCCTATACCGTCTCAGCCTTGAGGGCCGGGGCTCCACTCTGCGGTTCCTGCCGTCGCTGCAACAGCAATGCAACTTCCCTCAGGCAACCGTCGTCCTTGTCACTGCGTCAGCCCAGAAGCTTGATCACATAACGGACAATCTTCTCCGCCATCAATGCAAGAGGAGGGTGTGCTTTGGCGTCTTCATACTTCGTCACTCCCCACAATCGCCAGGACTTTATGTACGCATATCGAAGGAGACGGTCGCATTAGAGTGCTGGGGCACGGCAAAGACTGGACTGGACCCTCGTACGAAAAGTCCCCGGTCTCGATCTTCACTAGGTCAAGGGTCCATCAGCATCCAGACGATATGGCTTCGCTGCTGCCCTCGTACGCAGAGGCGACGACACGCCCCGACTGGGTGCCCGTGATCGCACCGTACGTCGACTTCCCGGACTATCACTCCCTGTGTCTCGTCAGCAGGCGATTCTGGGCGATTTTTGCCCCGCGATTGTGGAGGGACCTCCTCATTTCTGTACGTCGGGCTGGCGTTGATCCGAGCGATGGTATGTCCGTCCGACTTCTTTGCTTCTTTCACCCTCTCGGCATGGGGCAGTCTCAACGGCAACGATGACGGATACAATGGGAACCCGCATCCCTCTGTGCATAAGGGTCCTGAATTGAATGAGAGATTATTGACGCCATTGAGTAGACCTGGTCTGGTGGTTTGATTTCGTCTTTGTGCGTTTGCACCATGTACGGGCATCGACTCGCCAGCTTGTGAGGGTACTCGACATGCGTCATTTTGCCAAAGATGCACACGACTTTGCATCGGACGAGACTGAGAGGACAATCGGACGCAGCTTGGAGAAGGCACTGGAGGGGCTGCCCAATGTCGAGACCGTCCTGCTGGATGGCCACGAGACCCTCCATCCCAGGCTTCTGCAAAGCGTTAGCCACAACGGTCGCCTCAAGGTGCTCAGTGTGGTTGAAATGCCATTCAAGTTGATCCCATCCGAATCAGCGTATGAGACATTCAAGAATTTGGTCTATCTTGACATATCTGGCATTCCTGGGCCGGTAGTTGTGCAGCAAGAGAGCAACTTCCTGCAGCGTGCTCACCAGCCACACCTACGCATACTCAAGATACGTGGTCGCGAAGCCGACCAAGCTGCGCTCAAGTTACTACTGCGTGGATTTGGTAGACAGCTATGGAGCTTGGACGTGAGCCACAATCGCATTGCTGACGACGCCGTGGAAGATGCACTTTGTGCACATATTCCAACAGGGTCATTGCGTGCATCCGCGTCCTCGCGAGCTGACGCAGAGGGGGGAGTGGCGCCATTCGCGGCTTACTCTTCCACGTACGACACAAATCTGAACGCTGGTGCCGATGGCTATGGTGCCTTCTACACAATCGAGGAATCTCACAAGAGCGCCGATTTCAGTCATCCCGAGAGTTACTTTGGTGACGCGCCAACATATCCACCCTCAGCACAAGACTCGCGCGACTATGGCGAAGCCCCTCCAGTCTACTCGCAAACCCTCGATGCACTGGGAGATGCGGCCGTCCTCCAGAGGGCTGATGGGCTGCAAGTGCCCAAGCTAGACACCGCCGATGCGGCAAGTGCAATTCTCCAGCAAGACGCAAACACCATTGAGAATTATCTCAGTAGCGAAGGACTGACACACGTGAGCCTCTCCAACACGAGCGTGACAGGCTCCGGTGTTGAGAGGTTGATGCGCCTCGCCCAGGGCCACATTGAATACCTTGCACATGACTCGATGCCCCTGCTCCGGCCCCGGATCGATAGCTCGCGGCTCTGGCCTAGCGGCGGCTCTCTTCGCGGTATCCTCGGTGGAGCCTATGTCTTCCGACCTGTCTTCTCATCCAACCTTCGTTCCCTCAGAATCCACCATTCACTCGTCACTCATATTCCAGACCTGGAACATGAGAATTTCTCCGCGCGCGCCAGCATGTATCTGGTGGAGAACCTGATCTTGCCGCGTATCGACACACTCTTCCCCCAGGCCTTTGTCCCAGACATGAATCCTCGACTTACATCATTGACCTTGACCTGCGTACCGCGAAGGTCGTCGGGGCCCCTGGTTGCGAGACTAGTGGCCTTCCTCAAGCTGCTGTCTATCCAGGAGCGCAACATCCAGTGCATGGCCGCGTGTTGCTCGTCGTCATTACGTGGTCCGGGAATGCTCAAGGGTCTGCGACATCTCAGACTAGAGTTTGCGCCAGACCCGATGGAAGAAGACGTGTCGTTAGAGGAGAACGATGAGGGCTTCAGTTTCTTTGACAACACATGGGCGACGGCCGGCACTGAGAGGTCGGGTTCTGGAAATGTGCATTCCAGTGCGGACAGGAGTGACTCTGGCGATTCGGTCCGAAATGACGAAGACCATATCATCCACGAGTGGGACTGGCATCCCCAGTCGTCGGCTGGTCCCAAGAGACACACCTTGAGCTTCAAAGACAAAGTATGGATGGGCAAAAAGCCGTCGGGACTTGGTGAAGCTATCGACACGTACCGTCGGTTGGTCTTGGAGCAGGGTCTTAGAGAAGGCCTCGGGCCAGCAACACCAGGCCAAATCAAGGCTGGTGTACCTGCGGGCGCTCTGATCTTCCAGACAGCATGGACTCTGGCCGTCATGCCCCCCAGCCTCCCAGCACCACCGGTGGCTGCCCTGGCTGGTCAGCAGGACGTGCTATCGGCGCTGAAGCGGTATCGCCTCGACGGACGGCGCAGGTACGCCGACGCGAGACAGCGGGACGGGGCAGCGGTCAGGTTGGGGGCGCCGCATTTCTTCTGGACGGGACAGCTCGAGGTATCGATTGACCTTTGACCCGACACTGCACTCCTGCCCGCGGTGGTGTGATGGCACCAAGTAGGTTGTGTGATGCAGCTCGGTGATACAAATGACCGCAAAGGCAGCTGACAGGCCTCGCAATCGTACTATGAGCGAGTATTCGCCATGGTTTGAGGAAACCCGCTCATTTCCCCACCAATCCTCGAGTTGGCGACTACAACTTGGCCTCCAGAGTGCAGACCCCGCCTCGGCAGATGTGCCTCCGGGATCCCCACATTCTAACTACGGTCAATTACCACGGGGATCCCTCCAGGGGTACTGTCGAAGATGACTTTTGGACTCATTCACAAAGAAATTACCCGGACGTTGAGGACGTCAATGCGAAAGTGCCTCAAGTGGTCCAATGAAGAACTCGGGGACCTGCTCCCATTAGGAAGATGGATAGCCATGCACAGGCAAGAGACGTTGTATAAAAGCCCGGGGTGAGTCCCGTGAGTGGGAGTCTGCCGTCGATTGCATCCAGAGATGCCAAGTTCACAACCATAAGCACCCGCCGGCATCATGAAGTCTGTTCTCGCTGCCACCGCACTTGCGTCCCTTGCCGCGGCCTCGCCCGTCTCGAAGAGAGGCACATATTGCGGCCAATGGGACCTCGAGACCGCGGGTCCCTACATCGTGTACAACAACCTGTGGGGCATGGACAGCGCCGACTCAGGCGAGCAATGCACCACAAACAACGGCCTCTCCTGTGACGGAACCCTGAGCTGGTCTGTCGAGTGGTCGTGGGCGGGTGCACCCAGTTCCGTCAAGTCCTATCCTAACGTCGTCGTGGACGCTGAGCCCAGACCGCTGGGTGAGGTCAACAGTATCCAGGCCGAGTGGGACTGGAGGTAAGTCATTACGCACAAGCATACCTGTGCCGACCGACCAGGTCAGAGACTGATGCAATCCATGGCAGCTACTCGAGCCCCACCACGTTCACTGCCAATGTGGCTTACGACATCTTCACGGGCGACACGGCCGACTCGGGGCCCGCCTACGAGTTTATGATCTGGCTCGGTGCCTTTGGCGGGGCCGGGCCCATCTCCTCGACCGGCAGCCCCATTGCCACGGTTGACATCCTTGGCCGCTCCTGGAATCTCTTCTACGGCGCCCACTCGCAGATGGAGGTCTTCAGCTTCGTGGCCGCCAGCGGCAACGTCGAGAACTTTAGCGGTGATCTGAAGGAGTTTACGGACTACCTCGTGGCCGAGCAGGGTGTTAGCACCAGCCAAGTTGTGCAGAGCGTCGGGGCCGGCACGGAGCCCTTCATCGGGCAAGATGTCGTGTTCACCACCAACAGCTACTCTGCGACTGTTGCGTAGATGCGCATGCACTTCAGCGTGCCGTTGGACGAAAGTACATATGCACCGGTAGATCACATAGCTCAATAGGAACTGATGCAACTGAGTTCAAGGCGGACACGCCCCACGGTTTCTCCAGGCAGATGCCGGATGAGTAGAATACCGACAGACTGGGACCCGCGCAGATCCTCCTGGTCAGTACGGCCGATCAAAGACACGCGGGCCGATTTGACGTTCACGTTTCACAGCAGATGCCGGGGCGTGTGAGACCTGTGCGAGAAGATGTCTGAGTCTTGGATACCACGTACAGGATGGGGAAATGGGTTGGTCTCATAATCATGTTCTACGTGTGCGATGTGCATGTGACGAGGACGGGCTTGTTGTTCACGAGGAAATGACAGGCGTGTAGTAGTAGTAGTTCAGCCCCCATGATGAGTCGCAGGTGCGTCCTCTGAGCATGGGTTGACTGAGTTTCGCAAAGGTCTGACCAACTGTGTACCGCTGCGTGATGGCAATCTTGGATATACATGTTTGACCGGGGGCTTAGGAGCATGAGTTCCAGTTGATGTACTGTGATGGGAACGACCATTCATGAAGATGATTCCTTTGAGTCGGCGACCTTCCTTTCGGCGATGGCAATGTCGTAGTCCACGTTGCTGCGAGACTTGCACGGTTGCACCCAGCAACGCGACAAGTAAACAGAGCTGCAACATAATAGCTGGCGGAGATTGACGTTTTGCGACCGGACAACTAGTTGTTCAAGAACCGAGAAGTGTAGCAATGGTTGTGGCAGACATCTTGTAGACGTTGCCCGCATATCTGTTCTGGTAGACGATCGAGCAAGTCGGGCACACTCCGATGGTCTCTGGTTCCAAGTTCATCCGGGAATGAAGGCTAGGAAGCCGTACAGTATGTGGCCCCAATTAGACGATCCCCATGTCTTTAGCCCCTGGTGTTGAGGCTACTGGGCATGAGAGGCCCTGTCTCTGCGGCACAGCTCAGAATTTGTCCATATACATATTGGGAATTCAAGAAAACCAAAGTGTGAGAATAACATGATAGTAAGATCGACGCTATGTTCATTCAAATATACAGCTTCTCTACATTGTCCGTGATCCACTGGAAACTATCATCCCTAAAGTCATCCTTCAAAATGCTGTTCCTGTTGGGTGTCTTTAGCCACAAAAGCTCCCGGTCTTTACTATTGTACTCGGGCCAGTCGGCATACTTCTTGACACCAGCGTTGGGGTCCTGGTTCAGGACAAAGTTCAGGTAGTACGTGCGACAGCTGCGCGCCGCATTGTTGGGCCAAAGGCCGTAGAAGACCTGCAGAAGATCCGACCCGTGGAACGTGCCCATGATGGGCAGGCCGTAGTTGTAGCTGGCGAGGTACGACCAGACTGGTACGTCCGGGTGGGCGGCCAGCGCGTCGTCAAGGAAGACGCGGCGGGTCAGCGTGAAGACGAGATCGCCCAGGATAGCGGCGAGACGCTTGAAGGCGGGATACCAGTTGTTGAAGATGCCGGTACGGAACGGCGAGCCCTCGGACCTGACGTTCTCGTATGTGTCGACCAGCGTTGTAAGATCCGCGACGGAGGCGCTGTTAAAGAAGAGCTCGTTGAAGTACCCAGCAAGGTCGGCTGTGGACGACAGATTGCTCTGGAACAGGGCGAACAGCGTGCCTTCATCCTCTTGGTTACCGTTAATCATGGGCACGGCGTGGTAACGGCCGCTTGCGACCAGAACGTCCGGGCTGTCGGGCAGGGCATGGCCGTCGGGGCGAGGCAGATAACTCAGCGCCACAGAGCTGTACGACAACAGTCCGGGTACTGAGTTGGCAGCCTCGAGGAACGTGTCGTAGTCCACCTCGCGCAGACAGGCCAGAGTATCACCCGCACCAGCGCACCCAGCACGGTCGACGACCTGGTCGTACACCACCTGGCCCTTGGGGCAGTCCACGGGATCGGCGGGCACGATGCTGCCCGAGTTCATGATTGCGCCGCGGAAGAGATCCTTCCCCTTGTACGTGGCGTCTCCCCCGTACAGGGCCATCTGGTCCAAGACGGAGATGGCACCAGCCGACTCGCCCCAGATGGTGACCTTGTCGGGATCACCGCCGAACGAGGCGATGTTGTCGGCCACCCACTCCAGGCCCATCCTCTGGTCCAGCAGACCCAGATTGGCGGACCCGTCCGCGAGGATCTCGGCGCCGGGCATGAAGCCGAACCCAGCGACACGGTAGTTGACCGCGACAAAGATGAACTTTTGATCCTGCCCGCCGCCAAAGCGGATGAGGTCCGTGGCATCGTACATGTTGCTTCCGCCTAGCTCGAAGCCACCGCCAAAAATCCAGAAAAGCACGGGCAACTTGTCACCCTCCTTGGTGCCCTTGGGTCGCTGGACAGTGACGGACAGGCAGTCCTCCTGTCCCTCCAAGGGCTCGAGGAACGGAATGTCCAGCAGCAGACCCAGCGTCTGGCCCAGGAGATCCCGCGCCTCGCTGGAGACAAACATTTGCGGACAAGCCGGGGCAAGCCCCGAGGCGTCAAAGGCATCCAGAGTTGTCTCCAGCCGGACGGGTGGTTTGAGACGGAGCTGGCCTGTGGGAGGCTCGGCAAAGGGGATCCCTCGGAAGGACTCGACGTTGAGCAGGGACACGCCGGTGATGGAGCCAGCAGGCGCGTTGACAGTGAGCTTGGCGGCCGTCGCGGCGGCCTGCTCTGCCTCGAGTGCTGCCTTGAGAGCAGGACCTTGCTGACCCTCTGCCCTGGGCATAGGCGCTGGCGCTGGGGGCGCCGCCAAGGCACCGGCAGCAAGGAGAAGAGTCAGGAGCTTCATGTCGACCGGGTCCAGGAAGTTTGTGATGCGAGGTTCGACTTCTGCTGCTACTCTTGAGGCGCAGGGGGGTTAGGTATGTACAAGCGAGCAGAGACCAGGCGTCCTCAACTGTCGAGGCTCGCAGTGTCCTGTCAAACTGGCATTTTTCCTGCCGGGCACTCGTCGAGTTTTTATATACCAGCGCCGATCGCAATTCCTTTCAACCCAGAAAGGAAGAGCTAGAGCGCGCTGGGTGGGCTAGCCTCGACAAAGGAGGTAAGTAGATGTAGGTTGACGCATCCACCATGGGGTAAGACTAGGACGGTGTGGTGGCATCGTGGGCTGCCCAGCCGAGTACCGCAAAAGATAAGAGGCTCCCGATGGAAATTGTCAGGTCACATGGCGCGCTGCGTGACAGACTCGACGTCAGACTAGTCCAGGAACACCCTCCATCTTGGACGAGTACGGGGTAGCGAGGGACGAATGGGTTGGGTGAGATCCCACGTCAAAGGCCCTCAGCAGGGATGCACAATCTCCAGAGCGGGGGAGGGGCAAGCCCACGCGTTCATGGTGGTGCCCGAAATGCTGAGTCTGGGGAAATATTGGAAAGCATATGATTGTCAAGAACTAGGGAAATGGCCACATAGGAGCAGCTGGAGTGTGGTGATAGCCGAGGCATCCCCACGCCTGTAGTACGTATGGGGAGGGAACTAGGCATACATCAACCCGCCGCTTCTCAAAGGAGGCGAGCAAATGCCATTCTTGGCTGTTTTCCCCGCATTTGTCTACCGGCCTTGCATGGCAATTGGTTCTGGGGATTGACGTAGGATGGAGTGCTCTTTGCGGGGGCCGGAGACGGTTTCCCATTACATTCGAGCGCTTTCTGTGCGCCTCTCCGATCTCCGACGTAGTTACGATAGATTACATACATATAGTGCCGGCCATACTACCGCATGCGGCAAATAAATCGTGCCTTTGCTCTCCTCTACAGAGAGATATTGCAACGCGTCGGCAATAGTTGATGGTACTGCTGTCTCGAGAGGACCGTGTCAAGGGTAGGCTGAACCCTCTCTTCGACGCGTATGATCGTATCAGTCACTTTACTTTAGTCCTTCGATTCATCTCATTTGGTATGTCCAATTGTCGAGAACCCAAGTCTGATTCTAACTCTTATATAGAAAGGACAAAACACGCAAACAGGCTGATCCAAATGAACTCTCCGGCAATGAAGGAGCTTTAGCCAAGGCGCACCTCGTGTTGCCCGAGCCCGAAAGTCCGCTCGCCCGTCAACCGCCCCTCTTTTCCTCACAAGTCTCGCAACTCGGGCTGTGTCTTGACGAGCTGGTCATGCATACCTACATTCAAAGGGCATATCCATGTCGGAATCACAAGCTTGCTGGTGTGTTCTCCTCGCAGGACCACCGAGGTTCTCAGGCTGCGGGCTGCTGCCTCCCCCCTCCATCTCCGCGCCCGAGCAGCGTGGGTTCATCAGGAGCATGGCTTCGAGCAAGTTCTTATATTCATAATGTTCATGTACCATGTTGCGCTGTTGAATCCATGCCTCATTTCGGCCCCAAAGAAAAAACCCCTCTAACCCCATGCATTTCGTTTCACGTCTCGCCGACCGTTGCTGTGCTCTGTAACACCTTCCATGGCTAGCGATGTATTGTTGCGCTTTCATACAACCCCATAGATAGTCGAGTCGCGTAGCCAATCAAGCCACTGAAGATTGGGCAAAATGAGCCCGCCAACCGCCCAGAACGCCCGTCCGATGCCCTCGACTCGTCACGTCAGGAACTCGGACCGCTGCGGCTTGCACCACCATCTACACTAAGCTCGGCAAGCCCATGTGGCACCGGCGGATCCCCTAGTTGACCACGCCTAATGGGGGCCCCTCGCTCAAACGCCGCCTCTTGCTGCCCAAGGCTGGCTCGTCATCTTCATCTTCAGTGTCCTCGAAGCTCTGGTTGAGCACTGCACTCAACACGTCGCGCTTGCGCTTGGCCCGCTGCTCCGAGTCCTCCCCCGGAACGAGACGTATGCGCTGCCAGGTCTTCATGTCCTCGGGGTCAAACGGTCCAACGATGTCGTGCCCCAGCGCCTTTCCCATTCGCTCGCGAAGACCAAGAATAGGCCAGATGGGTATTTTCGTGTACTCGATATCAAGCCCAGGTACGTCCCCGTTATCACCAGATGGGTTGGTGAAAGGATCGTGGAAGCGCTGCAGGAACTCGGCCTTGACCGTGGCCGTGTACAGGATGAAGCAAACCTCCTCGATATCGTGGCTGAGCACGCGGAGTTTGAGGTCGCGGAACTTGATGTTGCGCGAATACCCCTTGGGCGCGAACCACTTGTGCTCACGATGCGCGGTCCTTGGGTTTGGTCCGTAAAAGTGGCGTTGTGCCATGGCAATGAACATGGCCGCAATATGGGGGTCCTGGACAGCGTTCGAGGGACTGAGCATCCTGCTTCGCAGCTCCTGGAGGCGAGCGACAGGTGCGTTTACGTACCCTGATCGCGTGGGGCCTACACGGAACATGTTGCGTCTCATAGTCGACAGCTGGTCTAGACCAATGTAGCACATCATAGGGCCATCGTCCACGACAGGTATCGGTACGTTATGCTGCGATGCCGAGAACATGTTCGTCCCTTGTGTCGATGTCGACTTGAACGACTCAGTGTCGGATGAAGTGTCCATGGGGAAATCCCACATGAGCTGCGCCTTGATGCAGTCGCGGTACGTCTTGCCGCCGCAGTGTATCGCCAGCTCGGGCCGTATATGCGTCCGAGTGAAAGCTTTCGGCCATAGAATGCTGAGGACGCGGTGCGCTAGCACAGAGTGCATAGTGGCCGGTGTCGGTTCGTATGGCTCGAGCATCTGCGTCAGCGACTGCGCTATCGTCCGGATCTCACCCGAAGGTCGCAGCTGACCGTCTGAAGGTGGTGGTGGTGGTGGTATCGGAGGCGTGTTGTGCGCGCCCGGTAAATCAGTTACAGGGCTGGGAGTGGTCGTTGCCTCGAGTTCAGTGAACCGCGCGCCGAGGAGCCTTACGTGATGATCGGTCCAGAAGATCGGTCGCACGTAGAGAGATGTCCCCTGGTGTCGGTACATGATATCGTACAGAGAGCCGCGGTCAGGCTGGTGGCACGGGCGCAGCTTTCGCCTCTTCAAGGGCCGTGGTTGTGACCCAGTGTCGTGGGTAGGTGGCAGCGCGCCCTCTGTGGGCAACGCCGTGGCTAGTGCTGTATCTATTGGCGCAGCCATGGCAAAGATCGACCAGAGTGAAGCGTAAAGGGACGATGTTGGTCTGTACCAAAAGTAGTGTCAGCTTGATACTTTATGTGGTTCGAGTGCAAATGCGCGTTCACACGCGTCGCAGCCTGGACTAGTAGCGCGAAGGCAGCAACAGTGAATCCCGGCAAGGCTTTGTGTGTGACTGACTGAGAGCGACCCGACATTGATTTGCCAATGGCGGCAAGCGCTCGGTCATGCGATCAGGGTGATTGTGCGTGCAATGTTGCTCGGATAGTTGCGGGCTTGACAAGGCGACAATGTAGATCCTCGTGGGGACGGAGGGGGACGGAGGGGGACGGAGTCGAGCCGGGGGTCAATTATACCTTGCACGTTGCGACTAGGCGAAAGTCAAGCGCACGTGAGACAATAAGGAGGGCAAGATGAGAAGTGCCTGGCCTGAGTAATATAGCCAAGGGCACTTTGCTTGCTCGGCGAGATGTCGATGAGTGCTACTGCAAGACGAAAACGGTTGAACAACAAGTGCGCGGGTGCCCACCTGCACGAACGAGTTCGATGGGGCGCGTTCTTGCCGCTGTCCTTGATCGCGGTCGATGTGCGGTGTCACGTGGCCGTAGGCAGCAACCGAAGCGGACAGCCACTGTCAACGTGGCGGTGGCGGCCTGTGGCTGCCTGCCTACACGTAGAGGCTGAGCTTGCGGCCTCAGATGTTAGGCACACATGCGCCTTTCTAGGTGTGCCCCACATCTGACGACAGCTCGCTGAGCTCTGGCATCGCAGCAGCCATCGCAGCGCAGCAACGCCCCGCCAAAGCACGACGCATCGTGGTCGTGCGCCAACCCATTGATCCAGACAGCTTCATAAAAGCGTACCCCTCTGCTGGTTCAAGATGCCGGTGAGTAGACTAGAAGTCCTTATACCACATTGATGATCCGGCCTGGCTTCATCGAGCCAGGCACGGGGCTTGACAGCACAACCCACGACGATGAGAACGAAAGCTAACACACCCAGGCCTACAACTCCATCTTCAATGAGGATCCCAACACGCCTCGCCTAGTCGGCAACTTCCCACTCCTTCCTCTCCGCACAAAGACCCGCGGTCCAGCGTACGCCCTCGCCCCGTCATCGCTGCCGCCCAACGAGTCGCCCGACCCCGATGACGAAAGCTACGACATCCTCGACGAGGTGCTCGCCCTCTTCCGCGCCAACACCTTCTTCCGCAACTTTGAGATCCAGGGCCCCGCCGACAGACTGCTGGTATACGGCATCTGGTTCGTGAGCGACTGTCTGAGCAAGATCAAGCCCGGGGCGGACGCGCGGGCGGCACAGAAGGATGTCATGAATCTCGCCTTGGACAACAACTTTGCCATCCCCGGCGATCCGGGGTGGCCGCTGAACCAGGCGAGTCATACTTCTGCCACGGTTTTGAACGCATAGGGACAAAGACTGACCGGGAACACAGATGTACGAACCGCCGCGGGACAGGCAGGACGCAGAGCAGCTCAAGCAGTACATGTCGCAAGTACGCCAGGAGCTCGCCATACGATTACTCGCACGCGTGTACCACGAAGACGAGACGAAACCCAGTAAGTGGTGGCTGAGCTTCACCAAGAGAAAGTTCATGGGCAAGGCGCTGTAGGGTGGGGCAAGCGTTAGCATTGGTGCAGGCGTAGTCGTATACAATGACTCTTATTCTATGTACAACTGTTTCCATGCAGTACGGGGTATCCGATCCATCCATCCATCATTCGCCGTCTAAGCACCGGCCTTTCTTTTCCTAAAGCGACCGCGGGCCTCGATCTTGCCCTCGACAGGGATCGCTCGCCACGCCGTAAAGATGTAGCCCTCGGCACCACCGCGCTCGGTCATGAGCGGATGCGTGCGCTGGGGCAGGACCTGCCACCGCCGCGCCCGACTTGTCTGGATGCTAGCCCCCAGGAGGAGGGTCGGGTTGATGGGAAACTCGTCGTTGCCCCCCCACCGCTCAATCTCGGCCACCGTCTTGCCCTCCGTCTCGGCGGGGGGACTGCTCACCCACGCGGCTCGGCGTGTTATGCTGAAGGCATCAGCGAGGATGGCCAGCGGCTCGACGGTCTGCGAGTAGATCGCCACCGGTGCGCCGCCCGCGAGAAGAGGTAGGGTATGTCGGAGGATGGAGATGGGTTCCATGGTGCTGGCGACGGCCAGCCCGGCAAAGCCGCCTGCGCGGGTCGTGTCGATGATGTGCTTGGTCCGGGCCCATCTTCTGCGTTTCCGGTGATAGTTGCCTCTCTGGTTCGTTTTCCACGAGGCCACCGTCTCCGGATCGACTTCGGCAGGGGGGTCGCTGTAAGTTTGATCCAGCTCGGGCGACACGAGCTGCAGCCACGACAGCGACAACAGATTGCTGTACAGGGGATGGTATGGTGGCGTTGGGTTGATTTCCGTGTTGTCAAAGTCAAAGTAGCGGAGCATGAAGAGGTTGGGTTGCGTATTGTGGTGCAGCACAGTCAACGTGTTGTTCGGGGCGTACGGGACTTCGAGGTCGTTGAGCCGCCGCCTCTTGGGCTTCTGGGCTGGTTGGCCATCAGGCTGTCCGCTGCTGCCCGCGTCCGTCACGCTCGTCTCAGGCTGTCCTTGTTCCTCGGGGGGTTGGTGCAAGATGCCCATACGCTCCGCCAGAGAGGCCGTCAAGAGTCCACCGGTATCATCGACCACGAGCCACCGCCCGGCATGCGGCCCCTCTGCGCCCTCCTCCGGCGGCGACGTAAAATGCGCATCAGCCCAGCACCCAACCAGCGCCATTGACTCTTGCCGCATCTCGAGGATCTTGGAGGCGTCCTTGTCTTCGAGCATCCAGTGCGCCAGCAGCGGCACGTCCAGCGGCAGAACAGTGAACCGCCTAATGTACTTCTTTGTCTTGAGCAGCTTGTACTTTGCCAGCGAGAACTGTGTCTTCTGGTCGATGGCGGTGTGCGAAAGAAGCAGCTTCGCGATGAGGTCCTGTCCCGCCGATGTGCCCTTCTTCTTGAGCTCTTCAATTTCAGCCGACGTGAGCGTCTGCCGCGCCGAGTCGTCCAGCACCTCGCGACTAGAGCGTGCTATGACCTTACCGCTGTCGTCCACCAGCGTGAAATCCTCCCCGTCGGCAGGCACAATCACATCTTCATCTTCGTTCGCCTCTGCGGGCTCATCGCTAGTCTCGATCGCATCCTTGTCGGCGGACGTGTCAGCAAGGGCGTCAGCGTTGAGTTCGACACCAGGGACAATGCGCAGGCGCGAGTAGGTTTCGCCCTCCTCTTGGTCTTGGACTTCGTATGTCAGATTGTACGGCCGCTCGATGATCAGGTTGCTCGGAAAAGACCCATATTTCCCTAATGATATGGTTCTGGGCGCATGTAAGCATGTGAGTCTGCTGTTAGCGAAGGCGGGAAGACGTACGTGTTGGGGACGACCTGGAGCACTCTGAGCATGTCATTGGGCAGCTTGATCGCTACCCAGGCGTTGGGTTGTACGAGATCACTAGACATGCTGGCGATGTATAGCAATGGGTCATTGCTTGTTGTAATCCATGCAGTGGCTCGTCGTGGGTTTTTTTTTCTTTCCCGATGATCAGGGTGACGGAATTCGATCGCGGCTCGGTGAACCCCGCAGTGGGTCCCTCACCGAGGGAGGACACCAAACCTCGTGACGAGTCGCACTGTACGTAGAGGTTTCGACACAACATTCACATCACAATCATAAGCTGCTTCATCGAAAGGCCAGGACAGACATAGCTCATTTACTACTGTGATGTCTGTATCCGATCCTATTGTCGTGTCAAGGAGAAATTAATTCGCTATCACGTGCAATCAGCGCGCCTGGCTGGTCCAACACAAAGGAAAACACCATCCCAATGGGACAATCTCGACGCCTCTACAGCTTCTTGTCCTTGTTCCTCTAGACCATGTCAGTGTTGCTGGTGTTTTCGCGCTCTCCCCGACCCACATTCTTGGCAATCATGCTACAAACGGCAATAAAGGGCTCTGCCATCATGGAGCACGCGTACAGGAACAGGCTGAGGAACCCAAAGCAGACAAAAGGAATGATCGTGTAGGTCAGCAGGTAGACAGTCCCACCCGACATTGTGACCACCGGGTACAGTTCCTTCTCCATGATCTGCACCGCGACAGCCTCGTTCTTCCAAGGCCCAACCAAGCGGAACTTGGGATTGAAGTTGGACCCCATGGCCCAGGTGTACAGGATCTTCCAGCCCTTGCGCATGACGAAACCAATATTGGGCGCGGCGCCCATGTCGAGAGCCAGCTGGTAGGCGTAGCTCTCGTGGTCAACGCCACGCTTGCTGGCGAACAAGTCGTATCCGGCGCGGGCCTTGAGCTGCCAGTCCATCTCGTAACCCGCCAGAGCATCGCCGGACGGACCCGTGGGAATTTTGTCAGGGAATCGGTCCTGTAGAAGGCGGAGAATCCAGAACTGGGCTTGCAGCTCGGCCAGAGGCGGGATGGCACCAATGCTGGGGCGAACAAACCCGATAAAACCGACATCAATATTTTCGCTGTTGTAGACTGCGCGAACGTCAGTGTCTGCGATGGATGGGTAGCTGGCATCGAGAAAGGCGAGCTCGGTCTGGTATCCAGTGGCCATGACGACAAGGTCAGGCTTGACACGCTTGGGGTCCGCGTCCGACTCGTCCCTCAACGCCATGCAGCCCTCATTGTCAATCTCCTCGGGCCATGCGCAAACATGAATCTTCCGTCCAAAGGTCGGTTTCAACGGGACGTTGAGAAACGCAGTGCGCTTCCTGTTCCACCACGACTCGGAACGATGGCCCTCGGACATGTAGCGAATGGCACGGTCCGACTTGACCAGGAATATGGAGTCGACGTGCTTGCGCTCCTTGCTCATGCGGCCAACCCACTGGTCCGGGCCCTGTTCTGTGCCGGAAATGAGCTTGTGCATCTTCTTGATCCACTGGTCATAGGCAGTCCACAACAGTGAGCTGCGCTGGAGGAGAGGGTGGACATAGGCCGTGTCGAAGAGGCTAGCCACGGAAGCATCCACGGGCTTGTTGTACATGTAGCCAGCGGCACCCTTGCCACGCGGGACGGGGACGGGGATCACCTTCGGTGCGCAGAAGAAACCAGCCCGGTGGCAGAGATGGACGGACTTGGCGCCCGACGTCACGGCCAAATGAGCCATGTCCATGGCAGTCTCACCCGCGCCCATGACCACGACCTCCGTGTCTGAACCGAACTGTCGGCGAAACTTGATCTGGGAGGAGTGAAGAACCTGGGGGATCTTGTCCAGGTTCTTCATGTCAGGGACGTGAGGGTTCACATTGAGCCCGGTGCATACCGCAACAGCGTCGCACACCCAATCTTCAGCGCTGCCATCACGGCGACGGATTTCAACCTTGTGGCCACCTTCAGCAGCGCGGCTCACGAGGAGGACCTTGGTTTCTAGCTCGATGCTGCGGTCGAGGCGGTGGTGGCGGACATAGCAATCGAGAAAGTTTACGTATTCCTTGGGGGTCACAAAGTCCTGAGACTCTCTGGGGAGGCGATAGTCGGAAAAAGCAGTCAGGTACTTGGACGAGACCAGCTCGGCATCCTCGTACACGCGCTGCACAAAGGTCCCGCCAATCGTCTCGTCGCCCTCGAACAGGCGGACCTTTATCGGTTCAATGGGGAAGAACTCGTGCGCGTGGAGCAGGAAGCGCAGGGTTGCGAGACCAGAGGGTCCACCGCCGATGATGGCGACCTTCATTGTGTATCCTCTTGGTTCTTCTCGTATGCGTTGGTTCTTGTCGGAAGAAGAGGTAGAGGTGCACGGGGAAACCAGAGTATCGTCAGCGTGTTGAGGAAAGGGGCAGAAATCACGACGCTGAAGAGGAGGATCCATGCTACTGATATACGTGGCGAACAGGCGTTCCGTTCAGAAGTCTCTGTACTGGACTGCTGGTTTGTCTGTCGGTTTCAACAGGCGATGTTCTGGTCGTCTCGTCTCGTTCAGGGGCGACCAAGTGGCAGTGGTGCCTCGCGAACGAGACGAAAAGCAGCCAACGGCAGCGAGCAGCAACGAACAACCGCGGGACATGAGGTGAAATTCAGGTCCAATCAAGGGCTGGTCATGGCGAACAGCTGTCTCTGAATCTGCTTGAGCAGGCTGTCCACGGATGGGGTTGAAATCTCACCAACCACGAGCCCCAGCACAACGGCAGTCTGCCAACTTGACCACATTGTTCCAGTTCGTAAACAATGCAAATCGGAGATCACGGATACTGCTCGCATTCTTGGCTAAGCAACGCCGTCTGTTGTGCAAGGTAGAGGACCAGACGTCAGGCCTCGTCAGGCACTGGGGCATCACCATTTTGACACCATGAAATTAATCAAGGTCTCCTATATAATGGACCATGGGCCCCCAAGTTGCCCACCTGGGTAGTAACGCGTCAGCCTTCTCAAGTCTTTCCAGAGCCACCGGTCGCTAAAACGAACGACTGCGAATCGTCATATATTTAAAAGATGCCCCTTCCGGACCCCCGGGGCAGCTTTTGCGGATCTACGACGCCGATATGACCCGGGTCATTCGAATTGCCACCTTGAGGGGGACGGTGCCACGTATTCATCGGCGTGCGCAAACCGCCTCAACGGACACTATTACGATCCCAAAACTCGGTTCGGATCAAGCGCGGGAAAATTCTGCTACCTGCTACTGCACACTGGTCCCTGTGGCCAGCTGTCGGAAGCTTCGGGGACGGGCAACTGGCCAGAGTCCCGCCTGCGTGTAGCTCCCTCACGACATCACGCGTTCGTATGCGAGAGCACTGAGTGCCAACATCACGACATTCCTTCTGATTCATCCGATGAAAAATTGAGGAGTCGCTGCTTATGTCACGTGTCGTCCTCTGTTGGCTGTTGGGAATTTCATGCCCTAACCGCCGCTGACATGGAACGACGCACGAGACTCGGCGCGAACCTTGATTGGGAGGCCACACAAGCTTTCCCACGCCAGGAACATCGCATTCTGTCAGGAACGGTTGTTCCGCGTACCTGACGACGGCAGATCTATCTGCAGACATTGCCGCGCCCCCCTTTCATCAGCACATCGGGCTACAACGACATGCGAGGGGAGCTTCCACTCCAACATGTCGTCCAAGGGCAGCTTTTGACGCAGTTTGAGAAGGACATGCATGGAACGGCCACATAACGCTACCAACTATACTCCAAGCGAACTGTTCACTTTACACTTGTCTCCTGTACTTCCGAAGTCTTCCGCTTCGGCTCTCTTCCATACTACACACCAACAGGGTGTGCACATGTCACGGGGACTACCATACTCAACCGATCATACCTCGAGGAAACTCACTCGAGGGTCAAAGCCAAGGCGGCCTTCTTAGCTGGTGGCAAGCTGAGAGCTACCGTGAACACCCTTGTGGTCAACAAAACCGACAAGGCCGCGGTATCAAACGTGGCAAGTGTCTATATAAGAGTTAAAATTCCCCTTGGTCCAGAGCCTTGTTCCCTCTGTATCAAGCTAATCTCAAGTGGTCTCACTTGACTTTATAATCGGCCATTCGTTTCGCCTAGAAAGAATAATCACAATCGCTTGATACCAAATTACCGCCACAATGCGCGCCGGTATCGTTTCAGCCTTTCTGGCTGCCAGCGGTGCGGCTGCCACGTTCGACAGGCTGCCTGAGCACCTCAGGGAGCACGTCAACAAGCACGCCCAGGTCCAGGCCCAGGAGCAGGATGGCAAGAAGGTCGAGGAGCAAGACCCCAAGCCCCAGAACCACAAGATCTGGTTCCCCGACGCGCCGGAAAACCATGGCGGTCATTGGGACCTCTGCCGCAATCCCAACCATTGCGACCCCAAGGACCCCAGGGACTCTCTGGGTGGCGTCAGCTTCAAGGAGACCGAGGAGGACCTCGTCTTTGACTTTGCTCGCAAGAACACCAGCGAGGAGGTCCGCTTCGAGGAGGTTGAAATCTTTATGAGCGGCAACACGCGTAACTTTGACAACAGCCACCGCTTCGGTACCCACCGCAACCAGTGTGGTCCCCAGGACGACAGCTTCCGTTGTCGCTTCCCCTTTGAGGAGGTTGTCGAGGGCGGCCGCCAGGGTCTGTGCCCCAACAGCCAGAACGAGAGCTTTATCTTCTACGTCAAGATCAGGTCCGTCGTCAAGGTCAAGGAGGAGCGCATTGAGCTCTTCAATAAGGCCATCCGCCCCAAGCAGACGCAGATTGGTAACAGCCGCCACCATGGCCGCGCCGCCATCACCAAGGGCACCAAGGGCACCAAGGGGACCGGTCCCAACGACCACGGCTTCGCCCTGGACGACCACTTCAAGATCGGCTACCAGTGCTGCGAGACCAAGTGTGACCGTTACGAGAAGGAGGCCGACTTCCACGCCGACTACAAGCACGGCGAGGACAGCAATGGCCTGGACATTGACGAGCAGAAGGCCAAGCTCGGCGCCCTGAAGGAGGGCAAGCACCACCACCACGACCACGCCGCCCGCGATGTCGAGGAGGCTGAGCACTGCTTCGACAACGACAAGGACGAGACCTGCTGCTGCAAGACCTGCAAGCCCGACGAGCCCAAGTGCGAGCCCAAGTGCGTGTGCAAGCCTGTCGTCAAGCAGGAGTGCAAGCCCGTGGTCAAGCAGGAGTGCGAGATCAAGTGCGTGCCCAAGTGCGAGCAGGAATGCAAACACAAGTGCGAGTGCAAGGAAAACGACCACGAGTGCAAGCACAAGTGCGATGACAGCTGCAAGCACGAGTGCGGTCACGAGTGCAAGCATGAGTGCGGCCATGAGTGCAAACACTCGTGCAAGCACAGCCACAAGTGCAAGCACGGCTGCAAGCACAAGCACGGCCACAAGTGTAAGCACGCCCACCAGCACGGTCACCAGCACAAGCACGGCCACAAGCGCGCCGCTGGCGCCGAGGCCGGTGTCGAGGCCGGTGCCAAGGCCGGCGCCGAGGCCGGCACCGAGGCCAGCCCGGAGAAGCCCGAGGACTACAACTTCTCTGTCGACGACCACTTCAACGTCGGCTACCAGTGCTGCGAGTCCAAGTGCGAGTGCTATGAGAAGGAGGCCGACTTCCACGCCGACTACAAGCACAACGAGGACAGCAATGGCCTGGACATTGACGAGCAGAAGGCCAAGCTCGCCGAGCTCAAGGAGAAGCACGCCAAGAATGGCGAGAAGAAGGGGACCGGCGAGAAGAAGGAGAAGGACCTCGCCCCCCGCGGCGGCGAGGAGGAGGAGGAGGCCAAGCACTGCAGCCTCTGCCCTACCGGCAAGTGCTGGCGCAAGCCCCAGACGCCTCACCAGAAGCGCTCGTACAACCGCCCCGAGGATTTCCAGTGTGAGGGCGCCTTTGTCAAGGCTTTTGGCCGTGGCCGCAACACTCACCGTTTCAACGAGCTGAGCCAAAGCAACCCCGATGCCTGCAACGTCGAGGACGGTGTATACCACCGCCACTCGCGCTCCGACCTCGAGGTCGCCGTCAAGGGCCCCATCACCTACAACGATCACGAGTTTGGCTTCTTCTCCATCGCCCTCGAGAAGAAGCACGAGCACACCTATCTAGCCGTCAAGGTCAAGGTCGAGGACGTTGACTTCTTCGTCGCCGAGATTGCCGTCTTTGTCGACTGCGACGGTGGTGTCGACAACTACAAGAACGCCGACGCCAAGCACCCCTCGGTCTGCAAGCCCGACTCGTACCCCCACCGTCACGTCGATGAGAAGGGCATCGACCAGTTCAAGTTTGAGATTGAGGACCGCTTCCGGTGCCACGGCGACTACTTCATCGCCATCTACGTCAAGGTCTGCGTCAAGGACGGTGACAACTGCCACTACCGCAAGCCCGCCCCTGAGACCAAGGAGCACCAGCGCAAGAACCCCTTCGCCAACATCAACTACTAGGCGACGACGCCGCCGCCCTGCGGCCGCCGCTGCCGGGTCCCGTCCGGTTGGAACGATAGCTGGACAAGCGTGGTCACCATGAGGGACACTTGCTCTCCTCTTTGATGGGACAGGTCTGTCTCTGGTGTGCCGGACGGACTTTTTTGGCATGAAGCCCCCGTTTTTTGGACGAGGAGGATGTATTTCACAAAAAAATAAAATAAAAATAATCTCGTAGACAGACACACGTAATGAGTCCAGATAATATACATTCTTCTCTGAACATACACATTACTCTCCTTCCCCCGACCATACCCTCTCCGTCCTTTACCCTTCGGGAGTTCAGACCTTACTCTGGGTCGGACCGGGGGCAGAGACAGCAGCATCCTCCTCCACGGTATGCCCTGGCTTCTCCTCGTCGAGGACCTTGCCGGCCACGTCGGTATTCTCGCCCCTGAGACCAATGTCGGCGTCGGCGAGCGAGTCGATCGCCTTCTTATACGAAGGCACCGTGTTGCACGCGAGGGCGTATGTCAAGGCGGCGGTCAGGAAGACCAGTGGCACAACCATGCCAATGCCGTTACCGTGCCTGTCGTTGGCGACACCCGTCAGCGGCGGCACGCAGGCACCACCCACGACACCCGCGATGATATACCCGCTGCCGCGCTTGGTGTGGCGGCCGAGACCACGCATGCCGAGGGCGACAATGGTCGGGAAGCAGATGGACTCGAAGAACAGGACCACGAACAACATGACGACGGGCGCGTTGCTGATCTGCCCGGTACCAGGGAGCGCGACGGCCGGAATCAAGAAGATGATGCAGCAGGCCATGAAGACGAGGAACACCTGGCGTGGGCGAAAGTACTTCATGACAATGACACCGACGAAGCGGCCGACGGTGAAGGCAGCTTGTGCACCTGAGAAGAGCTGGGCGCCCGCCGAGTCGTCGGTGTCCGGGCGAGTGTTGACGGCGTAGTTGATGAAGAAGCTGGCAATGGCGACCTGGGCGCCCGTATAGCAGAATTGCGCAAAGGCGGCGTGGAAGAGGCGGTACTGCTTCCGGAAGGGGAGGTCGTCAGCGGCCGCGTGCGTCTCCTGCACCTGGTAGGCCATGTCTACACAGAAAAGAGTCAGCCTGACCAGTTCGCATCAGTCGCGCAAGAAGGATAGCATACCAGCGTCGGTGATTTCGGGGATGTTAGAGAACAAGAAGAGCACGGCCAGGATCAGGACGAAGACGGCAATGGCGAGGTACACCCATTGCACGTTGGCGAGCGCCGTCTCGTCGTCGAACGCGAAGAAGACATAGGATCCGAGCGCGGGCGCAATGACCGTGCCGATGCCGTTGAAAGCTTGGGACAGGTTGATACGCATCTCGGAATACTTGGGAGGACCGCAGACTGTGGGTTTGTTAGACGTGGGCTGCGGCGCATGGACTCCCTGCTATGTTTGCACTCACTGGTGATAAAGGGGTTGGCGGCCGTCTCGAGCGAGCCGAGACCGTTGCCGATGATGAAGATGGACATGCAGAAGCCGGCAAAGCTCTTGGCTTTGATACAAGGGATCGAGATGATGGCGCCCAGGGCGTATAAGCAGAGGCCCCAGATGAAGGTGGCGCGGTACCCATAGTGCCGGAGGATCCACGCCGCGTGGCCGATGGAGGCGATAGGGTAGGCGCCAAAGTAGGCAGCCTGCAGACCAGCGGAGCGCGCCTGGTCCACGTCGAGGACGTTCTGGAAGTGCTTGTTCAGGGTGTCGAGCAGGCCGTAGCTGAAGCCCCAGAGGAAGAACAGCACCGTCACGAGACAGATGGGCCAGATGGACTCGCGCAGGGTGAGCTCGGCCGCCTTGGTGGTCTGGTTCCTGGGCGCCTTGAGGCTGCGTATCTTGAAGAAGCCCATGATGGCGTTGATGGGCGGCTATCACCTCTCGCTGTGGAAGCTGGGCTGGGCGCAAAGTGCAGTGGTGTTCGAGTTGGACCACCCTATGTCCGTGGTGGGTTGCGGAATAGTCTCTCGGTCCCAACAGGATTCTGAAGCGGGCATGACCGAGTCTTTATAAAGGCGAGGGCAACATGACTGTGACAACGAAGCATTGGAAGTGGAGCCGGGTGGTAGGAAGAGGGTCGGATGCATCGCCATGAGTGGCCGCGTCCATTCAAGGTTCCAAACCACCCTTGACACCTGGTGCGACGAAGCAAAGTAGCCGTCTGCCGAATGCAGAACCTTGGGCGGTGCGGGGACTTGGAGGATGGCTGGCACCTCCAAAGGCTCCAACGCGGAGGCTATTGGTGCGAAACGACAAATCCCCACGGGGTCAGCTGTTAGAGCGATCCATCATTGGCCGTCGGGTGGAGAATGATAAGCCAGCCGGGGGAGGGATCGCTGTTCCCGAAGCAATGATAGGCCGAGTGGTGATGATTCTGTATCCGTACGCAACGACCCCTCCTCCGCTCGGCCAAGGATAAAGGAGCCGTCGGGTCAATTCGTCCCAGGCCAAAAGCCGACGTTGAGGCTGAGGCGATGGCTGGCACTAATCGTTTGTGAGTGAGGACTCAGGAGTCTTGGACGTGAGAGCTTCCGAGCTTCTAGTACGAGACCCATGAGGGCAACCCGAAATGGAATCGCAGGCTCAACTGGCGAGGGTAGCACTCGGAGGTGCTTCTGAAATTCGCCGATGTGTCGGTTGACCCCTGATCTAGGCACGCGCGCGGGCCTTCCAATTTTCTGTCGCGCCGACACTTGCACAACACATGACCATTTATTACTGGACCGGGATGATCTGATCGGCGGCGACCTAGATTCTGGTGTGATCACATCTGACGCTAGAAGGTTTCGTCGAATTTCGAATGCCTATCGTCCACGGTCGCATGGTGGCTGGTTGTTGCACGGTGGTTCCAGACGCAAGTACCTGTATTCGAAGGCTATTGCACCACGAAAGACTTCCTGGCTTCTGGTGTCTCGTCGCTGCTCCCCACGGTTCTTTGATAGCGACGGGGGCTGGGCTATGGCATCGAATTGCAGCTGGTGGTGGATGCGGGGGCCTAATTACCCCAGACTTTGGCCTGCGGCTGGACTCCATACTGTCTGGGGATAGCGCGCTCCAGTCTTGGCAGTGGGTGATGTATTGTCGATGACGGGTTTTGATTTCGCAGAGTGATCTTTGCTGGCGCTGGTTTCGAAGCTTGAGTGGTGACTGGAAAGATTCGAGTCGGAGCCACTGAACGATTTCAGTCGTCACATGCTGAAGTGTGCGGCCTGTCCAACGCACCTGCCCCTTTTTCCAATTAATTCGGATGGCGGACAACGGACAACTGCCGCAAATCGTTCCTCCCTCCACCATTGCTCTCTAAAGACTCGCCCTCAGACAAATAGCAATAATTAACAGACGTCTTTACGTTTACTTGTGAGCTTCTACACTTTTGATATCCGTCAAATTGTGTATCTCACCATGCAGGGACAACAAGCTTTGCTGCCGGAGTCCTCGCGTTGCTCTGCAACTCTACGGATCGCCATCCCGAGCGTGGTCCCAAATACCCGACGGTTGCTACCCAGGGCCCCAAGACTCAAAAGCCGGCTGAGAGGCTGCTTGGCCAAGTCCAACAATTTCTGCCAGCGCCTCCGGTCTATTGTTGGCAAAATAGATGCTGCTCCGGTGGGCGGAGACTTGCACGGTTACCCTCAAAGGTGAAATCCAGCACCGCTGGCGCCACAAGATTGGTAGTCGCAGGCTACCCTGCACCTCCGAGTCTGCGAGTGGCCACTACTGCTCCATTTTGTTCGAAGAAAGACTGTGTATCATGAGACTTTGGAAGACACTAAGTCATCTGTTTGATTGATTTTTCTCACGCTTCTACGCTAGGTAGCGGCGGGGGCACCTTGAACTTGCCCGCTTCGAGTCCAGCCACATACGTCAATTGTCTAGCTCCGCACAGTGGTCTCTTGACCACCAACTGACAGCCCTACAAGCAACAAGATCTGAACTTGACCGTTCCAACTTCAGACATTTACGTGTCCGACTTTCTCATTCAAATGAGCCCATTAAATAGGGGAGACTACGAAGAACGGGCACGCGCTTTGGGGAATTGTCTGCGACCCAACCTACCAACAATGTCACAAAGCCAACGCTCGCCGAGATCATGAAACCAGCCGAAAGAACACAAGTGGGAGAAACATTTTCAAAATTATGGGGTATAACTGTTAAGCAAAAATTACTCCACTGGCTCTCCTGTACGCCATGCTGACGCTGCTCCCCACGACAAACTGTATATACAAGTTTCAACCCATCGCCTTGCCGAGCGATCCCGAGTCTAGGACCAGTTGGGCGCGTAGGTGATGGCGCCCATGAGGCAGCCAGAGATGGTGGCCGCGACGGGCACGGTGATGATCCAACCGGTGTAGATCCAGGCGACCATGCGCCAGTTGATAGCGCGCCAGTCTCCGTTGCAGAGACCGACACCGACAATGGCACCAGTGATGCACTGGGTGGTGGAGACGGGGAGTTCTAGAAGCGGTCAGCGAGATGAGCACGAATGACAAGATTTAAAAGGTGTGAAACGTACCGAGACGGGTGGCGACGACGACGGCAATGACGGAGCCGAGCTCCATGGAGAAACCGCGCGAGGGGGACATGAGGGTGATCTTGTTGCCAAGGTTGCTCATGATGCGGTAACCATAGGTCCAGGCACCAATCGCAATGCCGATACCGCCAAACGCCAGGATCCAGACGGGCACGGCGGATTTGGCGCCCGTGATCTCACCGGTGTTCCAGACCTGGAAGATGGTGGCGTAGGGGCCGATGGCATTGGCGACATCGTTGGCACCGTGGACAAAGGAAGCCGAGGCGGCGGTGAGGACCTGCAGGAACGTGTAGAGGTACTCGGTCTTGTTGTCAAAGTGGTCACCACGGGCGTGGATCTCGGCGAGGTCACCCGTCAGGGCACCCTTCTTGGCCTGCTGCTCGTGGATATCAATGTCGACACCGCGGAACACCACCCACTTGAACCACCAGAACAGGACGCCGGGCTTGAGGATGGAACCGGCGGGCCTGGGGCCGATGATGCCGTTCTTGCGAATGTGGCTGCCGTACATGTTCATCTCGGGGACGTCGTCGTTGGCCTCGGTGGCGGGGGCGCGAGCATGGGCGGGCGCGTCGTTGTTGAGGCTCGTGTCGCTGGTGGCGTGGTCGACAACCGTCTTCTTCTCGTGCTGGGCCTCGACGTCATGCTCGGTGTTGACCACGGCGGCCTGGCGAGCGCGCTCGGCCTCGAGCTCCTCGCGGTCGAGGTGGCCCTCGTAGAAGTCGCGGACAACGCCCCTGTAGTCGGCGGGAGCGGGAGGGATCTCACCACGGCGGAGCAGCATGGGACCCTTGACAAACTCGTACCACTTGATCTGCCAGTCCTCCTTGATGACGACGCGGTAGAAGTAAGGGATAAGGAAGAAGCCGACGGTCATACCGAAAGCAGCACCGGCGGCGACGATGACACCGGGGATCTGGGCACCGGTCAGCTGCACCTCGTAGTCACCGCCCTTCCAAAGCAGCAACATGGTGATGAGGGAGCCGGCGAGCCAGAAGTACAGGGGGATGGTGATGAGACCCTTCATGGTGGGGTTGCTGCGCAGCATGATGCCGTACTTTGTGATGGAGAAGATGATGGCGCCGGCAGTACCCGCCAGGACGGGGGCGATGATCCAGGCGAGGAAGACCTGGATGACACCGGCCTTGATGTCGACCGAGCCGTCGTCTTCGTAGCCAACCCAGACGATGCCAGAGGGACCAAGGGCACCAAAGCCCATGCCGAGGACACCGCCGAGGATGGAGTGGGTGGTGGACACGGGCATGCCGATGCGCGTGGCCATGGTGAGGTAGAGGGACGAGGCGATGACGGCGCAGACCATGCCGAGCATGAGGAGCGCGGGCGCCTGCTCAAAGGCGCCAATGTCGACGACCTTGGTGCGGATGGTGTCGGCGACGCGGCCACCAACACCGACGGCACCGACAAACTCGAGGACGGCGGCGCCGCACATGGCCTGGATGTAGGTCAGGGACCGCGAAGAGACGGACGAGGCCCACGAATTGGCGACATCGTTGGCACCAATGTTCCAGGCGTCAAGGAAGGCGAAGATGGTGCCAATGGCGAAGAGGTAGTCGTACTTGTGGAGAGCCATTGCGAAGGGGCTGTCGAGAGCAGTTGCTGCTTCTCCTTTGCTAAAGACGACGAAGACGGGGTGTCTTCGTGATGGAGCGGAAAGCGACCACGGAAGCGAACCGAGGCTTTTGAGTTCCGGCCTGTCGAAGGTTGAGGAGGTGGTTGGTAGGACAAGGACAAGGAGGCAGGAGGAGGAAGAGAGAGGCAGAGGGATAGGAATATATATCAAAGGCGGCTGTAGGCAAAGTGCCTACACTAGCAAGCGGGAACACCGAGAGGTGGTGCATCTGAGCAGAGCCAGGGATTATCTTGGTGGGTGTGGGCACGGCGGCGTCGCTAGTGGGTCAGGGTTTGTGGATGCAGTATTCGGATCCAGTCGCCTGCGCCAGGAAAGAAACTCTCACCATCGCAAGTGTGGTCGCTGGAGCCCTCGCCTCGATCTTGTCTGGCTGGCGAAGCCCACGTGGTTCCACTAATATTGCCAGGAGTGAAAGCTCTGAGTCGCCTCTCTGTCTCGTCGGTTTGCTCGCCCACAAGGACTGGCTCTAGGTAGACCCTGTTCTCAGAGTGGTTTCCTGATCGGTACGAAGCATGACATTTTGTCGAGCTCGGAGCTTGGCTGCAAGTCTCCGACTTGGCCGCCCAGGGCTGCTGCGCTAGAGACGTGCGTGGGGGGAGGGTGCGTCCAACAGAGGAGAGGCTTCACACCCCAGCTGCGTTTGTTCCTTTCGCGGTCCTCTGTTACGCATGCCGCTGGGCAATGTTACTCGTTAGCTACTGATTAATGAGATTTGCGGTTGAGGTTTGTGCTGTTGTAGTTGCCTATTGTAGATGACTTCCGAGCTCACTGCTTTGGCTTTCGTGTAGATAGCACGAGACATCACCAGGAAACTCGCCGTCCCCATTGAAGCGTCACTGCCACCCCTGACACCAAGGAGCGCAATTCGATTCGATCCAGGTTGAGGTTTGCATCAAAGTACGTACATGTATTAGTGAGTATTAGCTCATGGGACAGTTCCATTAGGGCGCGACCCTGTCACGTCCCCGCCGTGGATGGTGTCCTTGGCGGATGGGCTGTTGCAATAGTCCCTGCAGGCTGCGTGGCGGTTAGCATCAGCTCTTAAAAAAAAACCAAAAAAAAAAACCGAGATGGGCTGAACATGGCTATCCGGCACGTTGGCGCAGAAGCAAAGCTGCTGCTGCCCTCGTGCGTGACGATAGTTGGCCAGACAGATTGTGAGCCAAGAGTCTGTTCATGATGGCATGCTTGAAAACAACTCTAAACTCCAGGTCCACGACTCCAGAATTCTTGGGGCCAACCTGGCGTTGGAAATCCACAGAGACCGCAGGCAGGGTGGGATGGCATGGACTGGGAGGAGGGGCGGAGGGGGGAAAAGGGCCGCTAGTGGGAGTAGATCTGGATGCAGCAGATCTGTCTGCGCGTATGGACCAATGAGAAGGCGGGATGCCTGCACGTGCGGCAGTTGCTGGACCTGCAGCCCCTCGAAAAGCTTGGCTTCTAGAAGCCTGCCGTCAGCGCTACAAGCTTAGCAGCGAAGCTTGTAAATAAGCACGGAGCTTGTTAGCAGTGCAGCCCACCCACAACCAATCACGTCCGCCTGTCAAAGCACGTTCCCCGTGAACGTTGCTGAGAGGCTGACGTCCCCCACGTCGATGCCAATGACTTCCATCTTTGTCGATTCGAGGCTCGAGTCGCCATCGCTTGCTCTGCAGCTCGTCCGCTCCTGCCGTGCGTACACTTTTCCCAGGCCCGTAATGAATCACGCGACGCTCCAAGTCGGGCTTTTGCCTCAGTTTTGTAGAGCGTCCGGAGGAATAGTGGGCTGCCTTACGGCTCCAGCGAAGCATCACAAACAATGAGTACGCAGCATATGCCTGGCCATTGCGCCTCATCAGTGGCAAGCTCATGTAGAAATCGCAAGCAGCTTTCGTGTGTGATCAACCCATCACTGGCACTCAGTGACGGCTTCGATATGTGGGGTCTCTGCCCAACAAGCAGGGGTGAGTCCTTAGGTGTAGTTGTCTCACGCGTTGCGCCCTACCCTACAGCAACTGTGACAAACATGATCACACACGGCTGGCGACACTCAAATCTAGTCTGGGCAACTCGATATCACAGAACGGTCATGTTTGCATATCTTTATCGTCGATTTGAAGTACCACTGGCTGTAGCCCGCCGGAGTATTCCGGATCTCTTGAGATACGTGACTATTGTCTTCAGAGTACACAGCGCGCACGTGCATTCTTACAAGTAGCGGAAAATGCGGCGGATTTTCATCATCCACAACCCCTCAGGCGTTCCAAATTCGACTCACCTGTAAGGTACGTAGACTACGCCTTGGAAACTCTTCACATACGTATATGACTCGTGAACCGAGAATATCCACGAGCCGCGCATTCTAATTTCTGAAGTAGCGGGTTCGCCCGACTTCGGCACCATGCAAGGTTCAATTTTGTCCATGTGAAAGGTTGAAACCACTGAAATCGTCCGTGGGCGAGCAGGCGTGCCGCGAGGCACCGAGCCTGTGTGGTCCGGGGACAAGCACACGTGGGGGAGTCGTGGCCACTGAGTCGATGAACTCTATGGACATGTCCACAGCCAGTTTGCATTGCTATCAGTCTGCCTTGCCCGCCTCCGCAGAAACTTTTGCTCAGACGTTGTGGACGAAACTGTAAAATGGCCCTTGGTGATTTGAGTTTGCCATCTTTTGGGCAGTCGGATCGTAGGAGTGGTCAGATGTACTAGTCTAGATTCAATCTCACCGTTGCTATGAAGCATAGTGAGTAAAAGTACCCGTCCTTTAAACGGACTCGGAGCCTCTCTATCACATTTAACTTGGAGGCGCCGTTGATATCGGCACGGCAAGCGGCGCCGCCCAGCCCCGCGAGAAGGTTATGGACAGAATGTCAGCTTTGGAACAGCCTCACGATTAAAGTTGGCTTGCGTATTGAGCGCATGCGGCCAGCGACATTGGGCATAATTCTGCAGAAACACCCTGTCCGGAGGGACCCGACCTTATTTCGACGTCGCCACGACGCCACCTCGTACGGCGATCTGTTCCTGCGTATCGAAGATGCAGTCCCCGTCTCGCCTCTGCCCAGCTCCGAGCTGCATCATGTTCGGGAGGTTCCTAGTGTCCTTCATGCAGTCCTGCCTGGCATTGTTATCCCTTCCAGCGTTCATGCTCGTACGTGAGCATTGTACATGTGGGTGATGCCGCCTTCACCAACGTTCCCTGGCATACAGCGTGGACTGATCAGCAAGTCACTTTCTGGTTGACACGCTGGCAGATTCGGGGTTTTCCTGAACAACTCTGCAACTCACGGGCTTCATCTCGTTTACCGTTTCCGTGGGCCAAGTTGTCCCAACTAGGCAATATCACCAACGCCCAGACGCATGCAAGAAAGCCTAGTTCAGTCTGGGCAAACACAAGCATTGAGCGTCTCCGTACTGTTCTTTCACACGCCAGACGTGACCGTAACGTGCAGATTCGGCATTCAGCTTGCCGATATCCCAGTCACGCCTCGCATGAGCTGCTTCTTGGAGGGGAGCACGTGGGCGGCCGAGTGGCCAAGACGCCTGGTCCTCCAGGCCATCGAATTCTTCTCGAATCGTTCTCGAAGTTCTGCACAAACATGACCACATGAACTGACCAATGCGGGAATCATCCCACGCACGACGGAGACAAGGGTCCAACTGGGTTCACTCACATGTCTCGCGTTGCCCGAGACAGGCAGCAGAGCCTCCTGGTTGGTGATTCTGAACGGTCATGATCCTGGCATGGGAGAGCCGGGCATGTCCGTGTGTGCCTTAGCCTCACCTGTCCAAACTTGGAGCTACCTTTTTGTGACAAATCACTGCATGTCGGTCTGGCTGATTTGTGATTATCCTGGCTCAGTTGTCTGTATCTCCAATGGTTGGTGGTTAGATCGTATGAGTGGCGTTTATGACCCCTGTTGCGCGCTTCGATTCTTCTTCTTCTTCTTGCAATAGCGTGACGCCTGATTTTCTTGAGCTTGTGGCTCGTGTCTATCTGCTGGCTACTGACTGGTTTGATTGCTATCAAGTTTGCTGTGAACGCAAGACATCGTGGGGACTGGTGAGATCTCGGTATCCTGTCGTCGTGCTTTTGCTATGCAGCGTCAGGGGTTGAAGTTCTTTTGGTGTCCTCTGACCAAAAACGCTACCAGAATATGGCAAAGATCGACAATTTGATCGCGTGTGAGGTCAACCAGGAGCGACAAGCTCCAAGTTCGTGTCAAGCTAGGCGCTACCTAAGCTGTTCATTGAGATGGACACATCCGTCGCAAGCACCCCAAGCTGAGCATTGATTTGACGCAACCATGGCAGCGTATCGCTCCCGTCAAGCTGTTCGAAAAGTATCTGCCACTTCAGGCATGATCGCCGTGGACTGGAGTCACTGGACTCAGGTTGCGCGACGAGTGTCTCCGTATCGGAAAACCTCACCCAGACTCCACGCGGGGCAACAACCTACCATGTACGTTCAAGCGAGGAGACAAGCAACATGAATTAACCGCGGACGCACCTAAATTTGATGCATGCAACGAGTAGCAAAGATTCAGGAAATGCCATTTTTCTTCACACATCCTCCGTCCATTGACTACAGCTAATCGACATGGCCAACACAGCACTTGTCTTCGGCGCCTCCGGCGTTTCTGGATGGGCGTTCGTCAATGAGATACTCAACGACTACCCTCAGAAGAGCGTGTGGTCGGGCGTACACGCTCTGACGAACCGTCCACTCGATCCCCAAGCAGCTCTGTGGCCCAAGGATGAGAGGCTCACCGTGACTTCGGGCATCAATTTGCTCGAGGGATCCCAGCAGAATGTCGAGCACAAACTCGCTGCGATTCCCGGCATAAAAAATGTCACACATGTAGTCTACCTTGGTGAGACACCCCATCTGTGCATGGAAGAAATGGAGCTGACGAAAGCCAGCCTTCAAAGCTAGCACCGACACCGCCGTCGAAGTGAAGGATAACATCGAAATGTTCAAGCGCGCCATCACAGCCGTCGACAGACTTTGCCCCTCGCTGGCTTTTGTGGTCAACCAAACCGGCTCCAAGACTTACGGTTGCCATCTTCTTCATGATCGTCCAGAGTACCTGAAGCCACCTTTCAAGGAGGACGGCCCCCGACTGGGACCCCCAGGCTCCGAGACCATTTTCTACACTACACAGCTAGAGTGGCTGACCGGGTTTGCCAAAGAGAAGACATGGTCCTGGGCCGAGACAAGGCCCGATATCATCATCGGGTTCGTGCCGAACCAGAACTTCTATTCACTGGGAATGGCGCTGGGCTTCTTCCTCGCTCTGTACAGAGAGAAGCACGGCGCGGGCGCGGAGTGCCCCTTTCCCGGCACAGATGCGTCTTGGAAAGCAAAGTGCCAAGATTCCTCGTCGGACATGATTGCACGTCAGACGATTCACATTATGCTCTCACCCAAGACAACCAAGGGACAGGCCTTTAACGTCGCCGATGAGCGGAAGGCGAGTACATGGGAGGACAAGTGGCCCGTACTATGCAGCTTGTTCTCCCTCAATGGGGTCAAGACGCCACATGACAACCCGATTGAGGTGCGTAAGTTTATCAAGGAGAACTACGCAACGTGGGAGGCGATGGAGGAAAAATATGGGCTAGTCAAGGGCCAAGCGGACAATAGCCGTGTCATCCCCGGCTTTGAGTATTTTCTGCTCACAATGTTTGATTTGGATCGGCAGTTTGATATGAGCAGGGTGTATGATGAGTTGGGCTTTGATGAGGAGAGGAGTGTCAAGGAAACGTGGGAGCGGGTCTTTGCGAGGATGGCTAAAGCGAAGTTGATTCCAACGACTTCCAAGTGAAATTGGCTTATCGGAAAGCAGAAGGGAAGTTCATGATGTCCAGTTGACTCGGCCTGTGGGACAATGCGTCAGAGTGTCGCGTGAGGGGTGTTTTCGGAATCATTTGGGCTGTCGGATGTCGATTTCGGTGCTACAGCCGACACGTGAACATCACATGATGTTGTCCAATTGATTTGGGATTTTGCTTGCGATCAATCGAAGCAGTAACATTTGATGTACAAGCTCGGTCTGGACAGTGAAGCATCCCCAGACCAAGGAAGACGCAAGTGTGTGACCCAGTGTTCGCTTTACCCGTTGGCTAAACCGGTACGATCACAGAGTCATTGGTCGAAGCATTGCCACCCTTTCATCTGCTTCATAGAACCATAAGAGTTAGCCTACAGCTCCTACACAATGTAGTCTTGTCTACCAATGCTCCATTAAAACCAACAGCTCACCAGTCCACATTGACCCCCAACCAAAAGCTTTAGGCTTATACGTCTCAAAAGAACAGCAGCCAACTTTCCACGCCATGGAGCCACCTGAGAAGCCAACCGAAACGTATCCCACGGAGCCAGTAGCAGCGGCTGGCCCTTCGGAGCAAGGACATCCCAAGGGTATTATGGGTCGCGTGAAGAATCTTCAAAGTCGCATCGCGGGGAGAATCAGCCGGCCAAAACCGGGAAGCCATGCAGAGTCAAAAAAGTGACAGTCTGCAGAGCTCTGTGCTCAATGGAATGGTCGTGTGGCATTGAAGAGAGCTGGAACATGGCCGCATGGAGTACGACGGCGGTCTATTGAGCAGGGGCAGACTTTGAACTTGACGCCATCTTATGCCTACTACCAATTAACAAGTGCCGAGAGTCGCGATCATGCTTGAGAACAGAATAGCCTTCTTCACTAGTTCATTTCAGAGCCGCATCGACCTCGCCCTTGAGTTCTCGCCGCAGACAAACCTGCAATCAGTACGTGTGAGGTAATGTCTGTACACAGTCCATTGACCGCCCATGTCCACCCAGTAGACAAAAGAATCCAACAAAGCATTGATCATCATCTGCGGAACTTGTTTCGAAATTGTTGATTTACAAGAGCAAGCGCAAACATTGGATGTACACACCAGACCGCTTCGTTGTTCGCAACCGGCCGAGCCGTTCCCGACGGGTGCCTGCTGCTCCAGGATGCGTTGGCAGAACACGCCGAAAATTCGGAGAAATGCGACATCATCCGTCTGCAAGTCGAGCTGTAATAACAGTCAGATATTTTAAACACTATCTCAAAGAGAAGCGCCGCCGCGCTCAGTTGAGAGGCGTAACTATCAACCACAATGAATCAATGACCCCATTTCTTTGTGTGTTCGTCCCCTTGTCCTATCTCTTCATGCTGTCTTGAGATGCAGAACAAGCTGGCATAATGTATTGCAGAAAGGTTTACAAGGTCGATCAAACATTCGCAAACGTTGTCATGTCGGTGAAGAGGCATTCGCCATGGTGCAGTGGCAGACACGTGCCCTCTGATGGTGCCTCAGCTTCAAGTGAATTTCATCTGACAATCATCCGTCCTGACCCATCTGTCACTCTCAAATGACTAGCAGCTCACTTGCTCAAAAACTTTTTCTCGGGACTGGAGTTCGGGAGTTGTACGATCAAAATTTTCAGGGCATCGCATCTGAACTTCTGCGGCCCCCTTTCTCTCGCGAGTCGCGACCACCATGCCGCATCTAAGCACCACCATGTCTACACCATCACACATCACCAACATGGTCCTCCCTGCCATTCGTATTGGCTTCATGGAGTCACCAGCTCATAAATTGGGTCCAGGCCTGGCTATCCTTCTCGTCTGCCTCGTCTGCCTCTTCCTGTGCATCCAGGCCTTCTTCCACTTCGGCCCCTGTCGGCCCCTACCTGGCATCCCTCGCAACAAATTGTCCTGGATGGGCTTCAAAGGCGACATAATCGAAGTATTCAAAGCGGGCAACACCATGGACTGGCTCCTTGAGCAAAGCCGCAAGCACGGTCCCATCTGCCAGCTGTTCCTTCGCCCACTCAAACAGCCCTTTGTACTCATCTCGGACTACACAGTGGCGCAAGCCATCATGCTCAAGAGAAAAGAGTGGGATCGCTCAGACTATTCTATCGAATTGCTGAGCGGGCAGGCGCCTATGCATCACATCAATCTCAAGACTGGTCCCGAGTGGAGGGCGCACAGGAAGCTGATCCAGGATCTCATGGGACAGTCCTTTCTGAATAACGTGGCGGCGCCAAATATTTACAGCAGCACATTGAACCTGGTTGAGCTGTGGACCATGAAAGAAAGAACTGCCAATGGACACGCCTTCAGTGCGACAGACGATGTCATTCACTCGACACTTGACGCTGCCTGGGCTTTCACATTTGGCGATGCGTTCCCAGTCAAGGCCATTCACCAAGGAACAATCTCGTGTGCTCCTGTTACATTCACGGAACACAAGGTCACATTCGGGAGTCCGTCACAGCTCCCGGCTGTTGAAGCGACACTCGGTGCATCGGACATTGTGGGTGAGTTGGCGGCGTCCCCTTGTCCGACCACGTCGTGGTACATAATGAGGGCCACATCGAAGAGGGTCAAGCGCCACCTTGCTATCAGGAGAGAATACGTACAAGAGCAGATCATGGCAGCCGTCGAGCGACTGCATGTGACAGACCCGGTGTTGGCAGAGGGCAAGGTCAAATTTACGTCCGCCACAGATTTCGTGGTTCGACGTGTCAAGGACTGCGCTGAAAGCGCTGGGGAAGTTCCAGATTACCTCTCAGAGACCGTGAGAGATGAAGTGCGTATTCCTCTCATACGGCAAAATTTCATGCTAACAAGGGCAGGTATTCGGACTCATCATTGGCGGCCATGATACGACAAGCACCACCAAGTCATGGGGCCTGAAGCATCTTGCCGACAACCAAATTGTCCAGGATCGACTACGCGCATCTCTCAGGGCTTCTTTTTCCCTTGCCACACAAGAGAGGCGCATGCCTACAGTGCAAGAAATCACTGGTACTTGTATACCGTATCTTGACGCGGTCTTGGAGGAAATCCTCCGCCTGGCTTGCTCGCTTGCCATTCTCGATCGGCAAGCCACCTGCGACACTGAGGTTCTGGGTCACCATATACCCAAAGGCACAATCGTCATGATGCTGAATCGCGGTCCTTCCTTCACGGAGCCAGCATTTGATGAGGCCCTGGCTGGTGGCTTGTCGGTTGCCGGGACGGGGTCATCGTGGGTTGTGCATACCCTTCACCACTTTATGCCTGAGCGTTGGCTGGAGACCAACGACCAAGGTAGATCGTTCTTCAACCCCAAGGCAGGTCCGACGCTGCCATTCGGCTCGGGTCCTCGAAGCTGCTACGGAAGAAAGCTGGGGTATCTGGATTTGAGAATCGTCTTTGTCTTGCTCGTCTGGCGATTTAAGCTGCACAAGTGCGCACCCGAGCTGTCGACGTATGACGCGGTCGAGACATTGACGTACAAGCCAGAGCGCTGCTACGTCAATTTAGAGTCCATCAAGGAGTGAAGTTGTCAGCTTGGGCTGACATGGAGGGGCTCTTGTAGTTGTGCGAACATGTACACAGTGTAGTGGACTTGTGTACTGATTAACATCTATGCAAAAAATTGACTAAATCACCGAGGCTGTATCCTTTCTTTGAGAAAGCCTTCAGCATCTCTCTGTTCCTTGAAGACGATATTGACGCCGCTGTGCTGAAGAAAGCGGTTCTTGTCTCTACTCATGGTACTACTCTCCACGGGTTTGAGCTCTTGGATTTAACCATCACCACCAATGTCGATCTTAACAGTCGAGAAGATGCTTTGCGTGTCTGGATACCTTTTGCGAGCATATCCCGCAGCCTGGTTTCCTCCCTTTTATTATCATTATTTTTTTCTTCCTTCTTTTTTTCCCCTTCCCCAAGGAACATCCGCTGGGGCTCTGCGGTTACTAATACGGATACAGGAGATACCACCGAATGCCACTTCAGTCTGGGACAATGACGGCTGAACTGCACTGCTTCGAGCGAAATTTTGCCATGGATCGACGGCAATATGTGTGTCTACCAACTGATCCAAACTCAGATACCGTTCTAGTCAGCAAAGCAGTCTGAGATCACTAGACCAAGCCGTGTCGACGTTGACCAGACGCGCCTAGGTTTGTGGTATCCAGACAAGGCTCATGGTTTTGTTTGTAATATGCAGTCGCAGCTCTTGTACGTCGTTCCAGCTAAAAGACCAGTGCGTGGCGCGGCTGGACACTGTCCCATTCATTAAGCGCACCGACATCATTTCGTGTCGCAACACTGTATGTAAATCAGGCCAACTTCTGTCCCAAGTGCGATGACTTCTGCCAACTTTCACCAGCGAAAGGTTGGTACATAGATATGTAATGTGACATTTGCCACTATCATGGTCGCGCCGGCAGGCAGCGCAAGATCTGACGATCGCGTTCAGTTGCTGACGAAGGGAGTCAGACGCCCGTGGAGACCTTTTACTTCTGGTTTGGTGAAAGACGCGGAAGTGAGATTCATGGTCGACCTGGGAGTGTGGCTTGGCCAGCTAGCTGCGCCATACTCGTGGCTTGAGTCGTTTTGGGGATTACGTCAGTCGCCAGGGGCGCCGCCACGGCAGGAGCAGCCCACCTTGGAGCTCAAGCTTGCTGCCAGGCCGTGAGCGGCAACCTTTGTCGATACGCGCAATGTCGCTGACGACGTTTCCCTGGCTTCCATCGTCAAGCTTGCCATCCCTCGATTTCTGAGGCTCCTGGCGTTATTATGCTGCCTGATCAAAAATACATTGCGGTCTTGAACAATTCAGTACTGCTGGTGGCATTCGCTCCTAGCTAAGTTTGGACTAAGCCTCCATTAGCTGCCTCGCCGGTAAGTTAAGAAGCTCTCCCGCCATAAAGCCTGGAATCCTGTCCAAGGCTAACAATGGCTTCGAGGCCTCGCATGGCAGCTGTTACTACCACTCGATCACCGCTTCTTCTTTGCAACCTTTCGTCCTGTTCACGCTGCGAGTAGCGCAGGCTCTCGGCCTTGTTACCTACATCCTCACCAGCTGCGGACCCCGCTATCCATCGCCGTCAGCATGGGCATTCATCGGAAGCCCGTTGGTGCACCAGACGCGAACTACGAGCCATACCAACCGAACCAGCAACTCCAGAGGCAGGAGTCCTGGGAGGTCTATTCGGACGAGGACGAAGAACCGGCAACGGGCGCCGACAAGCCGGCCGTTCCTACATACAAACCTTATAGACCACCTGGAGCATGGGATGATCACGCACCACAAGAGAGTGGGACGACCGCGTCAGCGACGGGCGAACCAGTTCCAAACAGTCTTCGACCTGGCGGCGGACGAGCGCAGACCAACCCGTTCCTGCGCGATTCTTCACCATCGGCTGCGAAGCCTGATATACCGACCGAGCCACTGGCGAGGCTGGACATCAACCACACCGGTGCGAGCACAAATCCATGGCAAGGGCAAGGGCCTGAGCGAACGCAAACCACGACCTCATCCAATTACGCAACACCGCCCACCACGGTCACGACTGAGCCGAATCCTTGGGCGCAGGAACCCGGCGGTAATATTGCATACTCTCCCGCCTCCGTCACGGTCCTTGACCAGGCAAGCAACCAACAAGAGCTGTTCAAATCGCCAGCGCCAGTCGACGATAGCCCGTGGGGACCTCCTTCTACGAGCGCACCGCAAGCGGCCGCGCAACCACCGCCTCTGCCACCTGTGCCTGGAAGTCTTCCACCACCACCTGTACTACTTCAACCCCCCGACCAGCCGTCACCACAACCATCACAGTCGAGCTATGGGGAGAACAACCCCTTCTTCGGCCAGCAGTCCAATGTCTCACATCTGTCGAGATCTCCGTCGCGGTCACCTGACGTAGTATCAGCCCCATCAGATGATGGCTCGGGATATGTTGACGTCGGTAAGGAAACGGCGCCTCAGGCCTCGCAGTTGCCTCCCGTCGGTCCGAATCCCGATAGAAGCGCGGGGGGCTCCGACGTTGTGGACGCCAACGACAAAGGCAAGGGCAAGGCAGCTGGTTCTCAGATCGATGAGTGGCGACTTGTGGACGAGGACGGGACATCTGCATTGGCACAAGGGAGCGGTTCTGTGGGCGAGCGACCGCCTCTGCCACTCAGGAAGTTGTCTGGTGAAGCCTCGGGACTGAACCACAGACCTACTGTTGATGCGAAAACGGAGACGTATCAGATCAAGAACATCAAGTGGCACGATGCTACGAACTCGCAGCAACCCCGCGTGTCGCCCATCCTGATTCAGAATGCCAACGGACCATGCCCCCTGGTGGCTTTGGTCAATGCACTTACCATGACCACCCCGCCCGATGCAAGCGACACGTCGTTGGTTGAAGTCCTGCGGTCGCGCGAGCAGATTAGCTTGAATTTACTACTCGACGCCGTGTTTGAAGAGCTCATGTCGCCTCGGCGGACGGACGCCGATGGCGCCCTGCCAGATGTAGGAGACCTTTATGCTTTCTTGATGGGCTTACACACGGGCATGAACGTGAACCCGCGATTCATACCGTCTCCGGCCATTCGGACGGCATTCGAGCAGACGTCACTGACACACTTGGACGCGGCCGACCGAGCGAACTTGATTCCAGGAACCTTTGAAAACACGCACGAGATGGGGCTGTACGCGACGTTCAAGATTCCGCTGATCCATGGGTGGCTGCCGAAGCCAGAAGACCCCGTGCACGATGCGATGGAGCGCCAGGCTCCTTCGTACGAAGACGCGCAGAATTTGCTGTTCCGGGAGGAGGAGCTCGAGCATAAGCTCTCATCCGAAGGACTTTCAGGGCAGGATCAGCAACTGTACCAGGATCTGATATCTATCAAGGGATTTCTAGAGGGTTCTGCGACGCAGATCACAGCCTGGGGCATCCAGGTCATTTCCAAAGCTATCCGTCCCGGCACGTTTGCGATTCTCTTCCGCAACGACCATTTCAGCACACTATACTGCCATCCACAGACAAAGGAGCTGGTGACCCTGGTGACCGACGAAGGGTTCCGGTCACACGAGGAAATTGTGTGGGAGAGTCTGGTTGACATCAGTGGCCGCCAAACGCAGTACCTGTCGGGTGACTTTGGAGTCGTAGGAGACGGCGCGTCATCGACATTTGGTGGCTTTTCGGAGGATCAAGGGGCTGGATGGACCACCGTGGAAGGTCGAAGGGGAGGCCGTGAGCAGCAGGGCGCGTCCAACGAGGCGCCCCTCTCGCCCATGGAGCAAGAAGATCGCGACCTTGCCCTTGCCCTACAGCTTCAAGAGGAAGAGGACCAACGCCACCAGCAGGAGCAGGACCGTCGAAGGCAAGAGCAGAACCTGTCGAACCAATACATCGAGCAACAAGGTCGACCGGCAGCCACGGCCAACCGAACACCAGGGCAAACACTCCAAGGCAGGCGATCTGTGAGTGCTCGGGGCAGCATCGCCCCAGCACGAACGAGCTCATCTCAGCCGGGTTTGACGGTGCCCTCTCCGAACACCCAAGCGCCACGACAACCACCTCGTCCGACAACGCAGACTGTACGGTCCCTGGTGCCTCCGCGCCGCTCTGGCCCCGACACGCATCGACCAGCGGCGGCTGGAACAGACGCACCGCCGCCCTATGAACTGGCAGCGCATGATGAACCTTTCAACCCACCGCCAGGGCACCCCGCCCACGCGACGAGCACCAACACGTCGACGCTGAGCAGTGATGCTACGCCGCCACCACAGCCGGCCAGACCAGTGAGGGCGAGTAATGCATTGGGGCCGGGGACGAGGCCGCAGGTGCCACATGGAGGGCGCGAGCGGGACCGGGATTGCGTGGTGATGTGACGCGCGTATGTTTTCTTGGCATGGAGTTGTCTGGTACTGGTATACCATGATTTCGATGAGCGATTATGCATGATGAGTACGTCTGTTTGAAAGTCTATACAAGAAGAAGCCTCAGTGAGCTTGAAATGGGATCTATATTTATGTGGGATACTCTGTGCCCTAGAAATTGAGCTGTGTCATTTTGTAGTGAGAACGGTCTGGCTCAACGTTACTGTTGGCACGTTAGCTTGTGCGTGCGGTCGTAGTTAAGCGTAACACGGCAGTGCTTACGAAATAGGATGCCATAATTAAATTTTCATCGTCATTCCGTATCAAAGGCCTCTATGCGTCAAAAAAACAGTGGAAGAATCGAGGCAGTGAGAGGAAGCGCAGCTGTAGGGTAGCCGGATCACCGCCGATTACCCCTGTGATCATCATCGACATCATTGATTTTTGACTGTCTTCATCTTTGATCAAAGCACCTTTTCATAGCTTAACCAATACGCAAGGCTGTTCAAATCTACGAGCATACAGGCTTTCCAAACGTTCCTCTCGCCAGCCGCATGATGAGCAGCATTACCGGAACCCTCGTCGGCTGGGTGCCCCCAACACGCGCACGCTATGACACGATTCTCAAGCTCTGGCAGACCATCATGCCGTCGGTACGTTGCGCCTGCGCGCATTTTCACCTACGAGCCGCGTCCAATACTAACAAAAACGTCTACCAGTTTGCCAGTATCCAATGGTTGACCAAGTGGAACGGCATGGGCAAGACCTCGCAGCCCTCCATGTTCAACCTCCCCGGCCGATGGGCGTGGTTCTTTATGGAGATCCCCGGCTTCCTCGCCGTCCTCTACTGCATGCGCACCCTCCCCGCGCAGCTCGGCCTCGTCGCGCTACCATGGCAGAACAAATTGCTCGGCGGACTCTACGTGCTGCACTACCTCTACCGCGCCGTGGCGTTCCCGTTCTTGCAGCCGAGCATCAACGACATGCACATCCTCAACGCGTCCAGCGCGCTCCTATTCCAGATCACGAATGGGGTGTGCCTCGGCAGCTGGCTCGGTGGCTATGGCCCTGTGACGCAGGCGCAGTGGGCAGGGCACGTGTCCGCGACGCAGTTTGTCGGGGGCGTGGTGATTTTTGGTCTAGGCCTGGCGGGTAATTACTTTCATGACGAGCATCTACGTGATATCCGTCGCAGGGCGAGGGCGAAGCAGGCCAAGACGGCGGATGGGGAGAAGAAGGCGAAGAGAACATATGAGATTCCTCAAGCGGGATTGTTTCAGTATCTTTTCTATCCGCATTACCTGTGCGAGTGGGTTGAGTGGTTTGGGTTTTGGATGGCGTGCGGATGGGGGTGCGCGCCTGCCAGGGCGTTCCTGGTGAATGAGATTTTTTCTATGCTACCCAGGGCGGTGAACGGCAAGGCGTGGTACAGGGATTCCTTTGGGGAGGAGAAGACAAAGGGGAAGAAGGCTGTTCTTCCGGGGATATTGTAACGTGCTGGCAGGCGGGATGCGTTGCCATTGAGGAGGACAACCTGGTGGCGGTCCACAACACCATATCCTCTAGGCAGAAAAATAGCCTATCATATGACAATGGGGAAATTCATTCTACGGAATCAAAGGGGTATCAAACATCCGGTCAACTTCCAGGCGGTTGGTATAGCGAGTCGCGTTTGCCCGCGCCAGACACACGCAGCTGCCAGCTCGGACTGGACGCCACGATCTTTGTCAATCCATCTTCCTCGTCACGGTTGTTCGCCGAGCTTGCCTCAAAGTCCCTCTGCACCTTGATCTCGATACCGCCGGCGTGGGAGACGCGCTTGATGTGATGACCGCGCTCCTCGTCGTACTCCGGCTCCACCAGTGTGCGGTCGTCGGAATGGATATGTACGTTACGCTTCTGCTCGAAGCAGCGGAGATGGATGTTGCCTGACCTATCACGGGACGGCAACTCGTTCTCACGGGACCGTTTGGCCGAGTCTGAGAAGGATGTGATGAGACGAGGGAAGACGCGGACAAAGAGCGGCTTGAGGGCGGGCACGCAGGCACAGAGAATGGCGACGTTGATCTCGAGACCTGACCATAGAGCAATGTCGACACCAGTGACTGTGGCAGGTCAGCGGGTGCTAAAGAGGAAGCCTGAGCAGGGGCCAACGTACCGGGCTGCAAGTTGATGGGTGACGAGTTGTTGATGTACAGCGCGTGAAGCCTGATGATGGCCACGATACAGGCACTGTGAATCACAAGGTCAGCCAAGTCCAGCAGACGCTATGTAGAGGCACTCACAAGCCACCGCACGCAAAGACACCAATGAGCACATATTTAGCCCTCCTCGCAATCTGGATCCCGCTCAAAAACGGCATCGGACTGACGAGCAGCAAGATGTCGTTAAAGATATTGATGCCGGCAAAGACATAATGAAGCGTCATGCGGTCGATGCAACCGCCCGCAATGCTGTCATTCCAGTACTTTGCAATCGGCCAGCACGTGATCACCGTGCTCGAGAAGCAGAATACGCCATACGCGGCCAGATACAGGATGAGGCCGAGGAAGAGGCGCTGGGCCGTCTGCACCTTGAAGATGCGGCGACACTGGAAGAGAATGCTGAACTTGACGGAGAAGTGGGTGACGGTGTAGGCGATGATGGTCGAGTAGAGGGACTGCAGGAAGTTAGGGAGCACGGCGTAGTCGACTCCGTCGCCCAAGCCATATCGGATTTCTGTTCTCGTCTGTCAGTCGGGGGTCTTCACGACGGTGTAGCACAGATGGGGGTAACACGCACGCTCCATGACGGATATGAGGAAGCCAAGAGTGCCCAGCTACAGTGGTCAGTTGGAACATCTCTAGAGAACAGGGCGTGGGCAGACTCACGGCGGCGAGCACAATCAGCACATCGTCTGCGCCAACATTTTGCACCAAGGATAATCGTGTGTAGATCCTCATGATGACCGCCAGCAAGGCCAGGGTGACGAAGACGAACAACGACACGACAAGGCCATAGTTGCGCGGCACAATGTCAATGTCGGCCACGTACATGATGACGATTGGTGCCTTGCAGCCAGAAGCAAGAAAGCAAGCATGCAAATGGATGAGGAGATTCGTTCACGCCCTCTCGCAAATGGCGCTGGGAGAGGCCTGCTCTTCAAGAAGCGCAGCAGGTTACATGTCTCTCTTGCTCACCGTCGTCAACTCCATGCCAAGGCGCATTCTCAGTTGGAACGGCAGTTAGCTCCATGTTAGCAGAGAAGGAGACCTGCGAGGAGGAAGACCAGTCTGAAGCCAGTAGCTGCCTCCTTGGTACTTTTGGCAAATCCCCGGTCCAGCGGAACATGAGATGTCTCTGCGCTTTCAATGGCTGCCCTAACAGTGCATGGCATAGGCCTGATTCCGCATAGCTGAGGCGCATCACACAGAGGCGCCACTGCGCGGTAGTTGACCTGCCGGGGCGGGAGATGAGGGTGTCTTGCCTCTGGGGTCCGGGAATGCGGATTGCATTCCAATGTCTCGTTTTGCCGGCTGATCCATCCCCATGACATGCTCGCTGCTGTCTGGGAACGGCGATGTCGGGATGTCAGGTCTGCTCCGTCCTTGGCTGACTTTCTGAAGCAAGAGTGTTGTTTCTGCGAAGAGGGAATGAGCACACGCACAAAGGCAGTCTAATAGCAAGCTACACTGGTCGAGAGCTCGATCTTGTCGTGTTGGGGGGAATTGCGGGTGGCAGCTGCGACAATATGTCTCAGTCAGGACAGCTCTCCCTTCTCAGGGAAGTCATGGTTGCCAAGTCTCTTCTAGGAATGTTCCGGTCCTGTCCACCTCTCGCCTGCTTCTTTGAAGCGGCGCAACGCTTCGAGGTTGTGCTTGGGTTGTCTAAGAACAGCTCGAGTCATGACGCGAGAAAAGAATATGCCGCGCGCTTGGCAGCTTGGACCATCCTGGCTGGACCTGCGAGGCTCACAACTCCTCCGACCAAGGGATCTGCATAAGGAAATGCTGCATCATGCACCTTCCCGCTGCAAGAGTCTCGTTCTGTTTCGACAGGATCCATCTTGGACCGACGAGGGCATGCATATAGACAAAGCTCGCTCCGCGGCAAATGATTACTCGAGTTAAAACAAAGCAGGTACAAGAATACACGTAGACAGGCCCGCCTGTTCGCTAGTTAACCCCTCCATGTCTCACTTCTCAGAGGCAATCAACACATCGCGTCTCTCCAGACTCGCATCGACCGCGTTGTTAAACTCCTTTTCCGGATCGTACAGCCAGATGGACGCCACCAGTGCTAGCACGACAAATGCACCCCCTGTGACCCAGACATGGCGAAAGGCCACGACGTACGTGTCTAGGTACGCAACGTTGCCCACATCAATGATCTTGTCAGTGATGGTGGACACGGCGTCTAGCGCGGTACGGTTGTGGGCGGTCAGTGCCGTGATGAAGTCGGGGACGTATTCCGGTTCCAATCCTGTCGCCACAGCCGCAGTCCCAATGTTCCGAGGCTGGTGTCGCATCTGGTCCTGGAAGAGGGCGTTGTAGATGGCGATGCCAATCGTGCCGCCCAGAGACCGCACGCTGATGATCAGACCACTCGCAGTGGCAATGAGCTCAGGCGGCGTGGAGAGCTGACCGACGGTGATCAGCGTCGTGAGCGTCATACCAAGCGCCAAGCCCAAGAGGACAGGATAGCCCCAGACAGGCGCATCGGTATGGCGGTTGGTGGAGGCCATGCAGGCGAAGAAGGCGACAAAGATGGCGAATGCCAGCACGGTGACCCAGCGAACTCTCCTCGTCTTTGCGCAGTATAGCCCCGTTGAGGCGGCGCCGACCATGGACGCGATGAGCATGATGGAGTACCGTGCGCCCACCAGGAGAGCGTCCTTTTCGTACAAGACACTGACCTGAAAGGCAAAATACGTGTTCGCCGCAAAAAAGGCCACGCCCTCGGCAAACACGCAGAACAAGGCGATGGAGAAGTTGCGGTTGCCCGTGAACAGACCATGGTGGAACATGCCGTCCTTCTTGATCCAGATGGCGTACACCACGAGGAGCAGCGCGAGCAAGAGTCCGACGCAGAACGTAGCAGACACGTGAGGGTCGCTCCAGGGGTAGGGTGCCTTTGACCACGACAGGCCCAGGCAGAAGAGGATCAGGCCGGCCGCGAGGAGAAAGTAGCCGATCCAGTCGAGCTTCCGCAGCTTGTCGAGGGTCCGCCCCCTGAACTCGCGCTGCTTCTCTGTCGGGGGCGGGTTGTACGCGACGATGCAGAGGACAGCGGCGGCGACGTACCAGCCCGTCGCCATGTAAAAGTACGCCCTGAACCCGTCCTTTGCTATGTCGTTTGTGCGGTTCAGGGCACCTCCCACCAGTAGTCCGGTGATGCTGCCCAGCGCGTTGGACACCATGTTCGCGGCTTGTCCATGGCCTCTCCATCGCCTGGGCAGAACCTCCGAGGTGATGGCGTGCAGCAGTGGCTGCGCCCCAAAGGCAATGCCAATGACGCAGAAGCCAGCAATACACATGTTCATGCTCGTGGCTGTCGCCACGATGACGCTGCCCACGCCTCCGGCGAGCGTGAGAACGACCAGGAACCATTTGCGGCCCCAGTAGTCTGTGGCCTGGGATATGGGCGGTCCCAGAACGACGGTGAGGATGGTAATGGTGGCAGAGAACCATGACACGCGTTCGCGGTCATTGAAGTGACCCGCGATTGTTTGGCCTTGCTGTTTGATGTCAACGACTGCACTTATTTCCACACATGTCGGGATACTTACTGCACCAGCACCCACAAGGGACACTAGTTGTGCAAAGTAGATCAAGCATACAGCTAGTACGGCCAAAAATGTCTTGACGGTGATGCGAGGCGTGATGTCCTCGTTGAGTGTGCTGCCATCGCTCGGAGGGTGGTCATGGTGACCATGGGCAACGGTGCACATTCGTTTCCTCTCCTCGCCAAGGTTGGCGACTCGATCTGAATCTGACATGGTGCGGTGTCTCGACGATCCCGGCAATCGTTCTTGGGGCAACGAGATGACTTTGTCTGAGGAGGGCCAGGGGTTGGAGGAGAAGGAAGAGAGAGGGAGAGAGTGTGGCAGATCCGTCGAGCCATCAGGTACATGTAGATATCCAGAAGTCAGTCGGTCCCGAAGACCATCACGCATGCGTCAGACTGTGCCTAGTCCTCGGGCTTTGGGAGCATGGAGAAGCTTGACTGGTCGTTCGTCAGATTGTCTCTCCCAAGATGCATGGCAAGGGATGCGGTGCCACGGCTGAACATGTGGCTTCCCACTCACACACGATGATCCGGGCGCAAGATGTCTTAGACGCGGAAGTTATAGGCGCAAGGCCAGGCCCAGTCCCAGGCACAGCCCTGTCGACGCTTGCTTGAGTTTGATAATCAGCCTCCGGGCTGGTAATGTTTCCCTTGAAGTCGGCTTGTCCTCCTGAGCTCAACCGTGAGCTAACCGCGCTGCACGCCACTACCCGCACAAATGTGAAGAAATGAGCCTATCGGTGGTTTGACCTCCAGGCGTAGCTCTCAGATCCTGAAAAGAGATCCAGGCGATTTGGCTGGATGCTACGTAGTCGAGCATTCGATCCGGTGGCAAAGGGGCGCAGACAAGCCTTGTGAATGGCTCCCTGGACCGAGACCAAACGAGAGGCCTGGCACTGCTGGAATGACCTACTGCATGTCGTGACCGTTCTCACTGGTGTCTTGCGCACGCTCTCCTTTCGCGCGACGCGCGGACGGCTCTCGGTCTCGAAGGACGCTGCATGTCTCACTATCAAATGATGGGATGGACGGTAGAGAACATGCAGACCACCCACCCATGGGCGTCAAGTGGGCGACGCAGGTCGGTTACTCAAGGTCAGGCAAAACTCCAAGATTGAGAGCTGAGACTCTAAGGCATTGGATCTGCCGTGAACCCGATCACGTGTGTAAGCTCATGTTCGCAACAGCGATATAAGTCACATGTACGTGCTGTCCACCCGATGGAAGCCCTTGCTGCCGAGCAGTTCTTTGGGATCTCCTGCATTCAAACTGTTCTGTAGAATCTGATCACTTCAAGAAATGAAAGTCATCGTCGTGGGCGCTGGCATAGCCGGCCTCACGGCTGCGCTGTCTCTGCGTCGTGCCGGCCACTCTGTCCAGGTCTTTGAGCGCTCCCAGCTGCTCCACGAGGTTGGCGCCGCCATCTACGTCCCTCCCAACGCGACGAGGTTTCTGACAGCCCTTGGGCTCGACCCCACGGCCTTGGGGTTCGTGCAGCAGAAGCGTGCGTCCTTGGTCAACCGCCACACGCTGGAGCCCGAGGTTGAGCTGGCCAACGGCGAGACGGCTGTGAGAGTGGGCGGTGCAAAGCTGTGGTATGCGCATCGCGTTGATCTGCATTCGGGGCTGAAGGAGCTCGCAACGGGTCGGGGTGCTGGGACGAGGGTTGAAATCCATGCTGGGCAGCGCGTGGTGTCCTATGTACGTCTCAGCGGTGCGATGCGTATGACTTGGTACGTCGCTGACATTCTAGAACCCGGGCACACCATCGATTACTCTGGAGAATGGCACGGAGGTTACGGGTGATCTTGTTGTATGTGCCGACGGCGTGCGCTCCGGGGCCACTCAGGTTGTCCACGGTCAGCCTGTTGCGCAGTGTGACCCTCGACCTATGAACTGCGCCTATCGCTTCCTTATTCCCGCGGATGTGCTGGAAAGGGACGACAAGACCATCTGGTTCAATGAGAGCTGTGACGGATGGACGAGGATTTTCGCAGATGTGTCCGCTGACAAGCGACTGGTCTCCTACCCATGCCGAAAGTAGGTCTTGGCGCTGTGCTGCGTGATGTGAGCTGACCTGCAACAGCAACACTATTCACAATTTCGTTCTCCTGGTGTATGAGCCGAGAGGGGACGGTGCAGTAGAAGGTACGTGGCACAGATACTTGGCAAAGGCTGAATCGCTGACCTGGACAGACTGGAAGGCTGGCGTGCCAGTGGAAGAGGTCTTGGACAGGATTGCCAGCTTCTCGCCCCGATTGAAACAAGTCGTGAGGTATAGACGACCGCGGGATATCCTGTGCCAGACTGACAAGAAGCAGCAAGGCGACAGAGGTCAAAAAGTGGCCTTTGATCAGCCGTAATCCCATACCAAGATGGTCAAAGGGGTGCATGACGCTCGCGGGCGACGCAGCGCACCCTATGCTTCCCCGTACGTCCTCGAGTGCATCCAATGTCGACAGAAAGCATACCAACTGAATCCAGATCAGGGGCAAGGCGGAGCGCAAGCCCTGGAGGACGGTGTGGCTCTAGGCATAGTCATGCATGGCGCGACGGACGCGTCCGACATTGAGGCGAGACTGGCGATTTATGAGAAAGTTCGTCGTAATCGCGCCTCAGCCATCCAGACGCTCAGCAACACCGGTCAAGACCAGGTGCAGAGGATCAGCCACCAACTGGCCGAGTACATGGCGCCCGAACAGATTCCACGTAAGAGTTTCTCGTCGCCCAACTGCGCCTGACTATGCCATTTCGCTGACAGACCTGCGCGTGTAGAAACCCCGGGCGACATTTTCCAGTACACATACGGCTTCGACGTGGTCAGGGAGACACTGGGCGCCATGAGGGATTACCAGCCCGGCTTTCAGCTGCCTCGCGACTTCTTCGAGCGCGAGGTCCTTGGTGTTCCGGGTCGACACGTTGCGCAATCGTGGTTGGGCTGGTGTCGCGGCTTGCTTAGGAACTGGACCGTGTCGGCAAGTCGTACAGCCGTTGTATGATGGGTAGGATAGATACGCGGATCTCGGGTCGGTGCTTTGGTTATCCCTGTAGTATTTCGCGCTTCTTGTTGATCCCTCCCGGCCATTGTCCTACCCGCGCCACTGCCAAGCCAAGCAACGCGCGCCTCCACGCATTAGATAGTTGCGTCTTGCCAAAAAAAAAAAAAAAAAAAAAAAGACAGGACAAGACAGTCGAGAATCATGAAGAGTTGAAGTCGGTTTCGCATCCAAAGGGGTCAGTTTGGCGTCGCCGCCTGCCGGTCAGACACGGACATGAATACGGAGTACCGCGTGTCGATGCGGTGGACCGTCCAGCGACTCCAGACTCTAGACTCTGTGGTCCGCGAGCGCAAAACAAGCTTTCACTAAGCTTTAAAAGGATGTCCCTCGCAGGGAACAGACCCCTGCAGCCAGTAAGATGAGGTCATGCTAGTTGCTTGCACGGGAGCCCACCTCGCCCTACCTCGCTCGTCGCGCTCTCTGTCTCACGGCACGTCGCCAACCCGATGGTTCGTATTGGGATAATGTGCTCTCTCGGCACAGCTGCCGGCGCTTGTGTCCTGCATCCCTCTTCTTGAGGTCTAGTGCTATGTATCTCTGGCCGTGTTGGTATAAAGGACCCAACGATAGGTACGGACGCCTTGTGGCCTATGAGTACGTGGTACGTGTATGCAGGCGTTCCTGGCCTTGGCGTGCGGCAGCTGACGTACGCGTCCCAAGAATTGGTGAAAAGAAGAGCATATCTTGGTATGTTCTACAATCGCGCCGCGGAACTTGGTACCCTTCACACCTGGAGACCAGCATCCAGGACTCCAGAGGATCGACATGTCTTCCCCTCGCGAAGGCCACCGCGCCTCGTTTGCTGATCACCCCGTCCGCTCAGCGGATCAGATCACGTACCTCTCCGAAGACGAGATCAGCCAGTTCCTCGATGACCTGGACAGGGATGGCGACGGACACATCAACTATGCCGAGGTCGAGCACAAACTGGACCAGGCACACGACGAGCTCGTCCCCAAGCCAGCCGCGCACCACGTGTTTGCCTCGCGACGACCAGCCAAGGACGACAAGGAGGGTCTCGACGGGACCAACAAGGCGCGCCATGAGTTTCTGCGGCAGATCATGGGCGGCCGGACCGCGGACAAGATCCCGCGCGCCGAGTTTGCCCAGCTCATGCGGGACTGGAAGATCCCCAGCCTACAGCAGGCCAAGAAGGAGGAGGAGGACGAGAGGGGTTACTTCCGCAAACTGCCCAACTGGCGCAAGGTCCGCGCCTACTGGGCCGTCCACGGGCCCGAGATTGTCTTCCTCGGCCTCGTCGTCGCCATGCAGCTGGCCTTTGCCGTCTGGCAGCTCGTCAAGTACCTCACGACGGCGCCCTACACGGCCGGCTTTGGCTGGGGCATCGTCCTGGCCAAGACGAGCGCGGGCGCCCTGTACCCGACCTTTTTCTTCCTCCTCCTGAGCATGAGTCGCTACTTTTCGACCTTGCTGCGGCGGTCCTACCTTGTCTCGCGCTTCCTCAACTGGGACCTGAGCCAGGACTTTCACATCCGCATCTCGTGCGTGGCGATTGTCCTGGCGAGCGTGCACGCCGTTGGGCATCTGGCGGGCTCGTTCCGGTACGGGAGCACGGATAGTCGGCAGGACGTGGTGGAGGCGGTGCTGGGTCAGCGGATGCACTACGTGGACTTTGTGCGCACGTTGCCCGGCGTCACTGGTCTCACCGCGCTCGGTCTCATGTACGTCCTCTCGCTGTTGAGCATCCCCCCGGTCCGACGCTGGAACTACGAGGTCTTCCAGCTCGGCCACCTGCTCATGTACCCCATCGTCGGGCTCATGATGGCGCACGGGACGAGAGGCCTCTTCCAGTGGCCCATGTTCGGCTACTTCCTCGCCTTTCCCATGCTTCTCATCCTCGTCGAGCGCTTCGTGCGCATCGTCCTCGGCTTCTACCGCATCACCGCCACGCTCAAGGTCCTCGACGGCGAGACGGTCGAGATCACGACCGACATTCCCAGCGAGAGGATCTGGAAGTACAAGGCCGGGCAGTACATCTTCCTCAACGTGCCCGCCCTCTCCTACTTCCAGTGGCACCCCTTTACCGTCTCCTTTTGCCGCGGCAACAAGATGAGGGTGCACATCAAGACGGACGGCAACTGGACCGCGAAGCTGCGCGGCCTGGGCGGCCCGTCGGGCCAGAGCCAGATCAAGATCGCCATCAACGGTCCCTTTGGCGCCCCCGCCCAGCGCTTCTACGACTTCAGCCACTCTGTCATCATCGGGGCTGGTATAGGCGTCACGCCCTTCTCGGGTATCCTGGCGGATCTGCAGTACAACGACGACCTCGAACACGGCGGTCCCAGCCACGACAGGTCCCTCCCGGAGCAGGATGTCACCAAGATTCCCGAAGAGGGGGAGAAGAGCATAGAAGACGACGACAAGCTCCCGCAGTCGGAGAACCGTCCGCACCAGGTGCCCTCCGACCTCATCAGCAAAGCACACAACCCCCAGCCCACGCACGCCGCTACCTTTGCCGACGACTACCGCCGCGTCGACTTTCACTGGATCGTCCGCGACAGGAACTACCTCCTCTGGCTATCCGACCTACTAAACGAGGTCTCTCTCTCGCAAGTCTGGCATCGCGCCCACGAGGACCACGCCCACCTCGACATCCGCATCAACACCCACGTCACGGCCAAGCGCAACGGCATCGTCACACACGTCTACCGCTGGCTCCTCGAGATGCACCGCACAGCGGACCACCCGGCCAGCCCGCTCACGGGGCTCCTCAACGCGACGCACTACGGCCGCCCGGACTTCGACATCATCCTCGACGAGCACTATGCGGAAACGGTCGCGTACCGCGCGAGCCTGCGCCAGGCAAGACAAGAACAAGAAGAAGCAGGTGATGATGCCACGGCGAGAGACGACACGTCGAGCGACAGCAGCGCACAGGAGCGGGAGGACGAGGAGTTCAAGGTGGGCGTGTTTTACTGCGGCGCGCCTGTCGTCGGGGAGATTCTCGCAGATAAATGCGCCGAGCTCACGACGAGGGGGCGCGAGGACGGGACCAAGATTGAGTACCACTTCATGATTGAGGTGTTTGGCTAGCTCTGCTCATCTTCATAGCTTGTATCCCTTTCCCCCTATTGCACCTTGCCCCTCGTGTCGACGGGCCACATGTCCTGAATCACGCCTCCCTCGTGTGCATAGTACACATCGTGCAGGTTGATGGTCGGATCAATGTGACTCGGGACCATCTCGACGCGATCGCCCACATCCAGCGGCGGCGTGCCCTCCTCCCAGCGCAGACTGCCGTGCTCGTCCCCCAGGCAGCCGTACGTGTACCTCTGGTCCTTGCACTCGGCCAGCCCGCTGTCCGTCGTCAGGCTCTTGAGCCCCGTGTCAATGGTCACCTGGCTGGGCGTCTGTTTGCTGACGACCGTCGCGAGGATGGTCAGAGACTGACCGTAGCGTTCGGCCCCAATGGCGTTGCGGTAGTCCGTGTCCATGAAGATGAAGCTGCCCGGCTGCAACTCCGTCACCCCCGGCACCGTCGCGCAGAACTCGGCCGTACCCGTGCCCCCCGTCGTGACGACCTGGATGTCGTGGCCCTCGCCTCGCAGCGCGTCCGCCGTCGACGTGAGGATCGCCATGGACGCGAGACACTGTGCCTTGCGCTCCTCGTCCCCATGCACGTGCTGCAGGTGGCCCTCGTAGCCCTGCACGCCGATGAGCTTGAGTTTGGAGAGTGTGGCGATGTGCGCCGCGAGCTGCGAGGCGGGCTGGCCGGCGTCGATACCTGTGCGGCGCAGACCGACGTCGAGATCGATGAGCACGTTGAGCGGTTCAAGGAGGCCGTTCTTCTCATCGTCCTCTGCCAGGGCGTCGTTGATGGCACTCGCGCCCTTGATACTGTCCACCACGATACGTAGCTTTCTGTTCTTGCGGTACAGTGCCACGAGACGCTTCAACTTGGCGGCGCCGACAATCTCGCAGGTAACGAGGAGGTCCGGGAAGCCGCGCGCCGTCATGATCTCGGCCTCGCTAAGTTTGGCGACACACCCACCCTTGGCGCCCGCGTCGACCAGTTTCTGCGCAAGGATGGCGGACTTGGTCGTCTTGAGATGGGGACGGATGTTGCGCCCCGTGGGGAGCAAGGTGGCAAAGAGCTTCTGGATGTTGGCGTTCATGAGGCGGATGTCGACGATCATGGAGGGTGTGTCGAGGGAGGAGATGGGGTCGCCCACTTTGGGCGCGTACGAGGTCATTTTGCCCTTGCTTCTTTTTTTCCTTTTTTTTTAAATATGAAATGGTGATAGATTCTCCTCGGGATGTCTTCCAAGGCCGGGACGTACTGAGATGAATGTGCCTACGAAGATGCTATGCTGGTAGTGTAAAGCCGAGGAGGCGCCTCCGCGCATCGGAGATCGCTTGTCCGAATGTGGATGCCCGGGGTCATGATGTAGGACCCGACCTGTTGGAATACCGTCCGACAAGCTCCAACTCCTCAAGGTAACGTTGTAATACTGTGAAGCAGCACAGTGCGCGCGCGGTTCAGAGCCGATCTGGCACTAGGGGGGTCTGGTAACGCTGTGCCGGAGCGAGGTCCGATTGATATTGATCGTCAGGTGGACACAAAGATGGGAATGTAGGATCAGCATCCTAGAGAGCAGACATCCAGAGTCCACTGTACGCGATGACAAATACTGGCGTGTAATCGACGCATATACATTGTCAGGTATGAAAAGGACAGCAATTATCCATCGAGATGAGAATCCAATCGCAGAGTGAAGATCAGAGGAACCACCGGAACTCGGGCACGCTCGGCCCCTCCCTCAGCTTCAGCGTCGGCACATCCCTCGCTGTCGTCTTGACGCCAGCCTTCCTGTTCCTCCGCCAGTTGTCCCACGTCATGTAGCTACCCAGCAGGCCAGCAATCAGACAGCCGCACATGCCAAAGATGGCCGTCGTGATCAGCGCCGTGAGGTACTTGGGCTCCTCCCTCTCCAGAAAGATGTTGCTCGACACCAGACCCATAATGTTGGCCAGGGGCACGCCGACAGACGTGAGCACCACACGACGACCCTCGTGCGCAATGTTGTTGTTGTACCACGTTGACAGTAGGACAGACGGCGCTGACGTGCCCCAGACCATCATGAACGTGGCAAAGTAGGCAACCTGCAGCTGCGCCTGGACGTCCGAGATGGACGCGTAGACAATGAAGCCGATAAACGTCAGTGCAAAGCCAAGAATGATAAAGGGGAATCGGATCCTCAGAAAGTCGGAGCTGAACGCTAAGATGAGTAGCATGACCGCGCCACCGACATTGGGGGCGACAGTGTAGAGGTTCGTCTGGATGACACCGTAGCCCAGTCGCGAGATGATCTGCGGCATGAACAGTGCGACGCTCTGGATGGGCACGCCGAGGCAGATCTCGATCATTAAAAAGGCGTAAGTCGTCGGGTACTTGAAGATCTTGATCGAGTCTTTCAGGTTGAACGCCTCGGACACGGTCGAGGACGAGTCGACTTGGATACGGTGGAAAGCGAGCGCCTTCTCTTCGGCGCCCAGGAAGCATGACTCGGCCGCCGAGCGCGGGAGGTACCAGAACGCAAAGATGGCGAAGAGCACGGACGCAGCGCCCTCGATGATGAACAGGTAGCGCCAGACAAACAGCCTGGACTCAATGTGAAAGACGCCAAACGATAGGAGGCCGGAGAACGCATTGGCAATGTTCGACGCCGCGTAGAAGACCGCCAGGCGCCGGGCCAGCTCGCCACGTCGGTAGAAGGTAGTCAGGTAGTAGATGACCAGCGGGAAGAAGCCGGACTCGGCGGCGCCAAGGAAGAAGCGCAGGGCAAAGAGACCGCCAAAGTTGTGCACGGCTGCCGAGAGGAGTGTCATGGAGCCAAAGACTGCCAGTGGTCAGCGACAGACGAACGACTGACAGCCCAGTCAAGCGAGGAGACTTACTAAACATGAGAATGGGCAGCACGCGCGCAGGACCAAACTTCTTGCCGATGATGGCGACGGGCGGCGCAAACACCACGTAGGGGACGAAGAAGATGGAGATGGTCAGGTTATACTGGTGATTCTTGAAGTTGAGGTCTGCTGGTGTAAGTCGCTGCCCAGGTGTGTCCCGCGATCAGGACTCACCACGATCGAGGCCTGCGGTTTTGGCATGGCCAAGGTTGCCCTTGTCCAAGGCATTGAATAGATCTGTTCCACCAGTCAATTCAAATCAACAAGTTACGCCAATCCAGGGCGGCAACCCACACATGATGGCCAGCACCGGCATCAGTCGCACGTCGAACTTGCGGCACAACTGCCGCTCGGCAATGTGGTCCACCACGCGAGCTGTCGACGCGTCGTTGCGGTCCTCGACATCAACCGTGTCGTCAAACAGGGCATTCTCTTTGTCTTGGAGTGTCTGGTCTGTGACTTTGGGCGCCATCTTGCTGTGCAGTTACTCCAGAACAATGTCGCTCCCGAAAGCAGGATATGTAACAGCGAGAGATGACAAGTGACGGCAAAGTCAACCATATCTGTTGTCGCTTTTGTATAAGATCCTCTCCCCCCCCTCGTTCCACCGAACTACCGATCCCCCAACCCCGCGATATCTCTTGTTGGTGTCAAGGACTCAAGAACCGTCGGTTGCTGACTGCTCATGAATGCTGCACAGTGCCGCGATTACGGTGTTGCATGCATTGCGGCCTCCCCGGCATACGTTGTACCGGACCACGACGAGGAGAAGACGGAACCGCCGTCTCATGGAGACGTCCGGCTGGCCGATTTCGGGATGCCGTGCGGCAGACCGTAGGTCTGAACGTTGTATTTGTTTCTGGATCCCAACGAACGTACGCCAGCGAAAAACTGTCATACGTAGTCTCCCAAAGCATCGGTACATCTCCCCCATCCTAGACAGCCCACCATGAGCAGTCAACCACCCTACCCTATTCATGAGAGCATCCTGCCCAAGCTTGATGCCCAGTACAGAGATTTCTATAACGAGCACCTGGTCAACAAGCAGCAGGTCCATCTACAGCCCGTCGCGGTGTCACGCGTCGGCGGAACCCTCATTCCCGGCAGTGGTCCGTTGCAAGAGGTCGCTAGCACTGTTGACTACTCTCTTCCACGCAAAGAGAGCCACGGCCCTGAGGTCAAGCTGAGATGCTTCACACCGTTGGGCAAGAAGCCGGAGGGCGGCTGGCCCGTGTGCATCTATTTCCACGGCGGCGGCTGGGTGCTCGGAAATATCGATACGGAAAATGTTATTGCGTCGCATCTGTGCTCCAGGGGCAAGAGCGTGGTCGTAGCAGTCGACTATAGGTGCGTATCATTGGTAGACACCGGCTCAACCATGGCCTGACGAAGCTGACACGAGACAGCTTGGCACCCGAGAACCCATTCCCTGCGGCTGTCGAGGACGCTTGGGAGGCCACGTTGTGGTTGCTCAACGAGGGCAAGGAGATTCTGTCGCTCAACGTTGAGAAGCTCGCCACTGGTGGCTCGTCAGCCGGCGCCAACCTTGCAGCCGTCATGTGCCAGCGCGCAGTCGCCCGGGGCACCAAGCTATTCAAGCTGCAGCTCCTCTCTGTGCCCGTCACGGACAACACTGCGGACACCACCAACAACTCGACCTGGAAAGAATACAAGCATACACCCGCTCTGCCAGCACCCAAGATGCTCTGGTATCGGAACCACTACCTGCCCAACAAGGAGGACTGGTCCAACCCAGAGGCGAGCCCGTTGTTGTGGGAGGGAGATTGGGCCAAGTTACCGCCTGCGTGTCTCGTCATCGGCGAGCTCGACGTCCTGCGCTCAGAGGGCGAGCAGTTTGCTGAAAGTTTGGAGGCTGCCGGCGTCAGGACCGAGGTCCATCTCATGAAGGGCCAGCCCCATCCGTTCATCGCCATGGATGCTGTCCTCCAGGCTGGCTCAAGAGCAATCACTATCTTCTGCGAAGCCTTGTATAGAGTCGCATATCAATAGACACAAGGAGCTTCTTCTCCTTCTCCTCAATTTAACTGAATCCATGACTCCGTCAGCCACCCGTTTTCGGACTGTGCCACCTCAGCGACCTCGCCGTGCATCATGTCAAATGCGTAGGCCGGACCCACAACCTGGAAGCTGCTGTCCTTGTGGTTGTTTGGCCGCAGTACCAAGGGCGCTGATAAGCCGCTCACCACACAGAGCCTATCTCCTTGCTTCATCGCATCGGGCCCCAGACCCCAGATGCCATGCTTGGACACAAATGTGGCCCGATTTCGGCCAGCTGTGACAGCACAGTCTAAGAATCGGTCGGCGCTGCCTCCAGTGGACAGGGCCTCGAGGTCGGACACGCTCATGGCCTGCTTTTGGCCTGGATCCGTACCCTGCTGCCTCTTGATCTTTCGCAGCCAGTCCAACGACCACCACAGCCCATTGCGAAGGATACATCGTGCGTAATCAGCTACGTGGCCCTCAATATTAGACACGGGTGTGCCTTCCCAGTCTTTGCCACAGCTCAGAGTGACAGCCAGCTGACTGAGGTCAATGGTTGTCAATCCGCATGCGCGCAGCTCATCTCCCAGCATAGCTCTCTCCAACCGCGGCGGCGCTTTCAGGGTTGGGCTGGCCGGTCCGTGATTTAGGTCGAAGTTGACGTGCTTCGAATAGGTGCTGGCGTCGCGACCACGCCAAAAAGTATTGTACCGGTCTAGCGAACGCACGCTGTCAACCTCATCAACCAAGATCCCTCTCACCACAAGCCTGTTCGGATCTGGCTGCTTCAAGATTCTCGGGCGCAAAGCCGTACCGGCCGAGAAGTCAGCATGCGGAACCAGTGGCTCAATAGGATCCGATAGCGCTGTCTGCCAGCGCGGGACCCACGAGGGTCCATCCACAACGAGAGAAAGGTCGTTATTGCTGACACGCATCGTAAGTCGACCGTCGTGGTCGTGGTGTACTTGGCCCAGGAACGAGGCCGGCCCATCCATCTCAGCCAAGTGGCAAGCCACTGAATGGTTGAGCTGGGGCTCCTTCACGCCATAATCAACCTTGAATTTGCTTGCGACGTCGCCTGCGTCAGCTGTCGGTACACCCAGTAAGGCATAGATCCTGTCGTGCCCAATCCTGCATTTGAATTGCCGTGTAAGAGATAGGAGCTGGTGGAAGAGCAGCTCAACGGGCTCAAAACATGATTGGGACTGCGACAAGCGATACATGAAGTATGCGCTCAACACGCCTTTTTCGACAATAGGCCTTTTGCCTTCTGGCCAGTTCCTGTGCGACACTCCGTAGAGGCGGCCAAAATTCTCGCGCAGGATTGACGAACTCAGTCCAATCCAATCCCATGATATTTCCTTTGCACCTTGCATCACGGTGACAGAGCGAGCGACGGAGACTTCTTGCAAAGACCAAGTTCTAGTGAACCAGCTGCTTCGGAACGCTTTGATCGCTGGCAGCCATGCCTCACTTAGGGACCCGAAGCAGCGCTGCTTGGGGGTCTGACAACCAGGGTCCCCATTAGGCTTGATTGAATAACTTGCCTCAGCAAGATGTTCTTCAAGGCCAGTTCTCGCCCGCCACGAGTTCACAACAGTACATATGCTAGCGAACCCTGTGTCCTCATGGGCAAGCCCAGCAGAGCCTAGCCATACAATTGTCCTACTCGCGCTTTGTATTATTTTGGCCGCCCGCTTGGTGTGACGATTGCGATCGTTGACATCGGCAACGTCAATGCAGAGATGGGGCGCCCAAATGAGACGTGAGCGATCGGGCAGGCGGAGCGTTTCCAACAGTCGGATGAGCACCTCCCTGGACTGCCCTGAGCTTCCATTTATGACCATACGGTCCTGATTCAGCTCAACCGATGCATGGATACTCTTGTCCGTGCTGTAGGATAGGTACTCGTAGCCGAGACGGCAATCCAAGATTTTGGCAGTGTGAAGCCGGCATCTCAGCTCTCCAGAGTCAGCGGGGAGGATCTCCAGGAAGCGAGCATGCTCTTCCGACGGCAGAGGCGCGAAGGGATAGGCGCCGTCTTTGCCTGCTGTGCGGTCCCCAATAACAGACGGTAGAGGAGGCACTTGGGGGGGTGTCAGAGGATGGTGCATCGATCGAAAGTCAGAAGAACCGAGGTGCTCCTGGTCAAGCTTGGCGAAATTGAACAAGTCTCTCTGCGGGATCCATCGGCCTTTGCTTTTGTAGTAGTAGTTCCTCACTGCACATTGTGTCAGTCCGGCGTATCCACGCTCAAGGTCATCAGCGACGTACCGCCGCCAACAAAGACCTGGTCTTTCTCATCCTCCAACTCTCGCCAGTTGTCGTCATGATCAATGAGTCGATTGCAGTCGCCATTAGAGGCGGTTTCCAACGGCCGAGCTTGCTCCATCTGGTGTTGCTGGTTTGTCTCATCTCTCTCAACGAAGGGATCTTGTGGTCCTGACATTGACTCGCAGCTCCTTTGCCCAATCGGGTCTTTGGTACTTGGCGCGCCCATCGAGATACGCGCAGCTCGCAGTTGATGTAGGAAGCATCGTCAAGTATCATCCATCTTCGCCATGCGTACATCGAGTTCGATGTTGCTGCGCGCCAATGGGGAGAGGTGCCGATGACATGGCGATTGAAAAATATTGGGGGGGGCTTAGCATCGGCATCGTGGGCGCATGCATGTACGGCAACCATACGTCAAGGCACATTGCGTCGGTTGCCTTCGCTGATGGTGGTGAGGAGATGGTCAGTCAGCTGAGCTGATGGTGGCCGGCGCTACTGTGCGCGTCCTTCCCAGTTTTGCTGGTCCGTTGTCGCTCCTGCCCACCCCTCGTATGTGGAGGGATATTGCACAAGTTTGTGCAAATAGTACAGGTGCGCGCGTCCCCCCAAATGCACGGCTGCACAAATATTCCACTAAAAACAACAGCAGGTGCGTCCGTCCGTATCGCTTGCCTGGATCATCCAGGGTACGTAAAGTGAACCGTTCAACTAGTTACCTAACGTTAAGTTACACGCCAAACCGTGCCACCCACATACACAAACTGCAAGCCACATCAATGGAGCCCAATTCGAATTCATTGAGAAGAACGCTATGGACACCTTCTCAGTAGCCTCTCGCTTTCCCAACCGCCGTCGCGTAGCCCAGGCCTGCGTCACGTGCCGCGATCGGAAGACGCGGTGCGATGCCACGCAGCCAAGATGCGGTTACTGCGCGAAGAACAACGTAACCTGCACCTATCGGGACTCCCAGCAGCCTCGCATCGACTACAACACCCAGGTCATCCTGGAGAATATCCAATTACTTGAGGAGCGCATTGCCAAAACGGCTGAGATTCAACCCCACTTGCAGGTGCAAGATGGCGACAATACAAGCCCCTCGCTACCAGGATCCACGCCTGCAGACCTCGACGTGCAGATCGCTCTCTCGCATACAGCCAATGCGAATCATGTGTACAATTGGCCGATAGTTCAAGACCTTTTAAGCGAAGTACACCGTTCAGAAACCGACCAAAGACCACGGGACGCAACAGATATCTTCTTCGAGCATAATCCGCAAACAACTAGGATGCCTGGCACTTGGAACCTCCTGGATGATCAAGGTCAAGTTCCTGCAGAATACAGAGCACTGATTGACATCTATTTCGCCCAAGTCAATGGTTATCATCCCCTTCTCAACAAGAGCGATGTGGTGGCTATATACGATGGGCTGCGGCATGGGAAAGCCATCGACCCTGCCCACTATGCTCTCCTAATACTTGTTCTTTGCTTCGCATCCTTTCTTTCTCGGGGAGCGAACCTCGTGAGGATTCAAGGAGATCGTTCACTCTTCGACGATCCAGCTGAAGAACAACTCTGGGGGAAGGCCAGATTGCTCCTAGGCTTTATCTTTGCCGAGGTCTCGCTAGCTGCAGCCCAATGTGCCATGCTGGCTAGGTGAGTACGTCCACTTTCATGTTGAAAATCAACATTCACTGATGAGTGAATTAGTTTGTATCGTGGTGCCAAGGGTCGAGTAGCAGAGTCGTTTCACTGGTCGCATGCTGCCTCTGTCAAATGCGAAGCTCTCGCGCGGCAATATACTCACGACCAGTTAGGCTCTGCCATCCCAGATCAAATTTCCCGAGTCTTCTGGATTGCGTTCATTTACGAAGGTGACTTCGTGTCGGAGATTTCAGTCAACCTGCCGTCGGGAATGGCGCGATATGAGGAGCTGATTCCATACCCGACGGTATCAACTGCAGCAGATGGGGCCAATGCCGCAAGTGATCCTCAACAGGAAGTCGTGGCGTTCCAAATCACGACGAATGCTTCCACGCGCCGTTTCCTCAACCGAGTCAACAGTGCGATATACAACGTCAAGGAGGCACAGCGCAAGCAACTCGATCGTGGCCCTCACTATCCAGCCTGGCTACTGTCTGTGACCCAGGATCTCTGGTCCCATCACTCAACGGTCTACAAGAATCTTCCAGAATTTCTGCTGCGCAGCGAGGCCGACTCTATCATCTCTCCACGGTCCGTTGAGTCGCCTACAGCACGCATTGAAGGCCTGTCATCCAGGGGCAACAACCCATGGAATATCCTGCGTCTAAAGGGTCGTTACTACGCTGGGATGTACATTATCCACAGGCCCTTTGTTGAATATGCCCTGCTGAACGAGGATCACCTTGATCGCCACCCCTATCGCGAGGCAATTTTGAACAATGCCGCGACTTGCCTTGCCGGCTGCGGTGGGTTTATCCGGGTCTTCGATTACGAACCCGCCAATAGCATATCTTGCCTCTTTGCAACTGGCATGGTGTAGGTTCAGCGTGGAAAGCGAGAATACGAACTTCTTACTGACCATACTAGGACTTTCGCAATGACACTGATCTCGATGATCGCCACTGTCAGTAGACCATTCGTTAGTGTCCTCCCCGCCGACATTGAAGAATCAATTGTGTTGGGCGTCCGGAACCTGAAGCGCTTCAGCTTGGGCGTGCCCGAGTTTGCCTGGCACTTGCAAGTACTGGAGGAGATTGAGGTTGCTCGGCAGAACAGGAAGTGTCGACAGGGCACAGGGTAAAGACTATAGACGCGGCGAATGATATGGGTATACCGGCTGAATGCAACCGAGTGCGTACGTCAACAAGCCACGGGAGGGTTCAGTATGTCCATGCACACATCGGGGGGATCTTGACCTTTTATTGTTTTTGCTAACACATTATAGATCGACCTTGTCGGTTTGGGTATTTTTTCTGTTTGGTCATACCAGTCTATGCTGTTACAGCTATCGGCGCCTCTGTCACAGCGGCCTTCCTTTTCTCATCCGGGGCCAGCTCAAACACGCCCACGCCGGATACCGACTTGTCCTTGCCGAGATCTTGCGGCTGCTCGTCCTTATCGGACTCGATGACCTTACTGTCGAGCTGCTTGTCCCCCGCACGCATCGGCGAGTAGAGGCTCAACAGTTCGTTCAGCTTCTCACGTTGCATGCAGTTCTCATACTTCCAGCTAGCCGCCAGATCGTCGAGCTCCTCGAACGACTTGCCCCTGAAGTACTCAGCCCACTCGGGGATCATGTACTCGGCCATGGTGATACCGCGAATGCCTCGGAACACGTGCATGTGCATACGCCACTGCCAGGGGTACTTCTTGGAGTGCTTCTCGGGGACGTTGTCCTCGAACCACTTGTGCAGCGGGCCAAAAAGCCCTTCCTGGAGGTGCGCATCATCATACGCCCAGGAATCGACCGCGAGGTCACGCTTCTTCTTGATGATGGGACCGAGCAGTTTGAGCCAGGCGGATTCGGGGGACAGGTACGTCATGCCCATCACGTTGATGTCCTTGTAGGACCAGATCGACCACGCTTTATCTTGTCAGTGGAGGCTAATGACATTAGACGACAGCACTCACCGATAGAATCCGCAGTATAAATGGCCAACTGGCGATCAAGGACGTTGTACCGTTCCTCATTATGGACCTCCCAGTCTGGATTGAACTCTTTGCGTTCGTAAATCGGCCCGAACTCACCTATTGCTCGTTAGCGTGAGATCGACGTGCGAGTTGGAGATAGCGACTCACCATTCCAGATGGGCACGTTATGTTGCTTCATGAACGCCGCCTTGCGGTCATACATCTTGCGGATGTACTGGTCCTGCTCCTTATGTCCCTGGTATCGACCGATGCGGTTGGGGAAGCCAAAGCCGCAGTAGTCATGAATCGCGTAGACCGAGTTGGGATACACTTTGTCGAAGCCGGTGAAATCCATGCTGAAGGTGTTTCCCTCCATGAATAGGATGTGCTCGGGATCGACCGTGCGGATCGCTGGCACAACGCGGTCATAAAAAGCGAGAAGACGGGTCCACTCCGAATCGGCGGGCTCGTTCATGGGGTTGTATCCAGCGACCCAGGGGTTGCCACGGTATCGCTTGGCGATGTGCTCCCAGAGATTCACTGCGCGATCCTGGAAGTGGACGTGGTCCCAGAAGGCGGCGTAGCCCGTTGGGTTGTCGCAATGCCAGTCCTGGTTCTGGCCGCCAGGCAGGGCGTGAATGTCGAGGATGGTGTAAATCCCATACTTGGCGCAGAGCTCGACAACACGGTCCACGTGCTTGAAGCCTTCTTCCTTGATTACAAAGGGCTTCATGTCGTCCTCGAAATGGTGATAGTTGAGAGGCAATCGCAGACAGTTGAAGCCCAACGATACGAGGAATTCGGCATCCTTCTCTGTGAAAAAGTATTCGAGGAACTTGTCGAAGAAGAAGTCTGCCTTTTCGCGGCCGAGTACCTTGAGGAGAGCAGCACGGATCTGGTGCTCGCGGCCGGGGAACCCGTTCATAAAGTTCTCCATGAGCATCCATCCGCCTAGGGACGTCTGGAGATTGTCAGCCAAAGTAAATGGTTCCGCTTTCAGCATGGCTTACACCTCGGAGGATGACGACGTCGCCATTGGCGTCGACGATGCGAGCGCCATCTGCTCGTAGGATACCGTTGGACATTGTGACTGTAAGGGAGCAAGTTTCGGGATGCCTTGTTGGGTTTGGGACAGGAACAGCCGGGGCCCCCTTCTCTCATATAGAGCCCGGATGCGTCACGAGATATCGGGGGCCGACAATCCTCCACGTGTGGTTCCTACGTGCCTCATGAACCTGGGCAGAGGGGCCTATGTGGGGAGGAGGGAGGGGATCATGAGGCCCTCGGGGCTGGTCAGGAGCATGCCCCGACGCAGGCGATGGAGCGAGACGCCGCGGCCACCAGGCAGGCAGGATGTGGACATGTTTGTTCGCTTCTGTGGAGAGCGACTGACTCTTTGCCAGGTCTTTGCCTCCAGCTTCTGGCTATACAGGAAGCAATAGTCTCGCCTAAATCGGACGGTTCAAGCTGTAATTGACTCTCATTTACATTGGGGCTGAGAAGTCGATGGGAGCTCGAGTTGACAGGCACATTCTTCGAAGGCCCCAACCATCGGGGCAATGATTTAGCTGCCCCTACATGGTCTTGGCGAGAGCTGCAAGCCATCTCCGAAAAGGGGGACCGATTTAGCTGCCCCGATGGCACAGGATTCGTGGAACGGCCGCCCTTCTCCACCATCCCCAACCGACACTCGCATGCGGAGGTTCCTCGCTACCCCAGACAAGATGCAGAAATCTCCCCATGACACCCCGCGAGCACCAGTCGCACACATGGAACCCCAGTTTTCCATGATGCTAGGGAGAGGAATCCATCGGTTGGGAGAAGGCTACTGAGAGGAAGCGTGATGAGGAGACCTTGTCTTGGGCTTGACTCTTCCCGATTGCTCTGGCCCAGACCTGTCTTTTGAGTACGTACTCGTGTCTGGTCTATAAGATCTAGACAATCCCCCAGCACCGTCAGCAGAACCAGCATTCTCATCAACTCCTCTTCTCCTGGACAGAAGACACACCGCCATGGTCCTCACTTCCCTTCGTCAACGCCTCCCGGCGCCTCGCCAGGACCTTCAAGCCCGCCAGGCCAAGAAGGCACAGATCGAGGCTGGCAATGCCTCCGGCAAAGATCCAACATACGAGCCCTCCCGTATTAACGTCCTCGCATCTGAGGCGTCAGCATGGTACAACTCTGGTCCTCGCCGACAACTCTACTTCCTCCTTTTCCCGGCCTGTGTTGTCTCCTATGCCACCAGTGGCTACGATGGCTCCATGATGAACTCCCTCCAGACGGTCTCCTGGTGGGATGAATATTTTGGCAAGCCCCGTGGCTCTAAGCTCGGCTCGATGAGCGCTATCATGTACCTGGGCTCTGTCTGCAGCACCCCGATTGCGCCCTGGGTAGCGGACAAGTTCGGTCGACGGTGGGGCATCACCGCAGGTAGCATCATCATGATCGTCGGTGCCATCCTGCAGTGTGAGAGCCAGAATTTCGCCATGTTTGTCATCAGCCGCTTCGTCCTCGGTTTCGGTCTTTCATTTGCCACGACAGCTTCGCCCAGCATGGTGAGCGAGCTTTCCCACCCCAAGGACCGTGTCACCATCTCGGCCATCTGCAACACCTGGTGAGTGACCCGTCTGCAACTCTTGGAACAAAAGTCTAACAGGACATAGCTGGTACATCGGCTCGATTGCCGCCGCCTGGATTACCTTTGGCTCCCGCGAAATCGATTCCACCTGGAGCTGGCGTCTGCCCTCCCTCCTCCAGATGGCGCCCAGTCTAGTGCAGCTCTCCACTATTTGGTTCCTGCCCGAATCGCCGCGCTGGCTCATCGCCAACGACCGCGGTACTGAAGCTATGGCTGCGCTGGCCAAGTACCACGGTGATGGCGAGGAGACGGAGCTCGTCCGTATTGAATATGCCGAAATTGTGGCGGCTATCGAGCACGAGAAGACATCGGGCAATACCTCCTGGAAGTCCATGGTCAGCACCCCCGGCAACCGCTATCGTGTGCTTATTGTCTGCTGCATGGGAACCTTCTCGCAGTGGTCTGGGAACGGCTTAATAAGTTATTATCTCTCAAGGGTAATGGACAGCATTGGCATCACCAACAAAGATACGCAAGCTCTCGTCAACGGCATCATCAACATCTGGAACTGGCTCATCGCGCTCACGACGGCCTTCTTTGTCGAGCGGATCGGGCGTCGTCCCTTGTTCCGCATCTCCACAATTGGAATGCTGATCATGTTCACTGCCTGGACCATTGCCTCGGAGCGCTTCGCCGTTACGGGGGCCAAAGCGGCCGGTACCGCTGTGCTCGCGCTCATCTTCCTGTACCAGATCTTCTACTGCATTTGCTTCTCGCCTCTCCCTGTGGCGTACTCGGTCGAGGTCCTCCCCTACTCCATCCGCGCCAAGGGTATGGCTACCTATGTCTTTGCCACCAAGATTGCCGTCTTTGTGAATCAGTTCGTCAACCCGATTGGTCTCGACAACATTGGCTGGCGGTTCTATCTCGTCTATGTGGCTGTGCTGGCGGTCGAGAGCTTCATTGCGTACGGATGGTTCCTGGAGACCAAGGGCAAGGCGCTGGAGGAAATAGCAGAGATCTTTGACGGCGAGGCGGCGAATGTGCGCGTCCACGGCCACGCGGAGGGCAAGGGGGTGATGGAGGATCCGACGACGCTACAGGAGGAGACTGTTGTCAGGAAGAGCTGATTGGGAAAGGGGTCGTGCTGCAAGCGATTGTGCGCTTCTGTGTGATGGGAGTCCAACCTCTTTGGGGCATGATCTTGATGGACTGGATATTCCTGCTATTGGGACGTCTCGGTGTTTCCAACACTCACTGTGGATTAGCTTCATGCTTGTCAACACAACATGTCCCGAAAAGGGTCCAATAACGTGGTCTCTCAAACGAAAGACTCATGTATGCAAACATCATCATCACACGCTGTCTACCCATGCCTGCGCCCGCCGCCCACACCGCTAGTGAGCGAAACGCCGGAATTGAATGCAATATGTACATAATAACCTAGCGTAGTCGCAATCAGATCACCTCCGAATACCCATCGTCCCCAGCCGATCACAACTCGGCATCTTGACCGCATTCGCGTGCGCCATCTTCTCATCATCCTGGAAGAAGAAACCCATGGCGTTCTCCCTCAGCCGTCGCTTGTAGGCAATCTCATTCTCGCACTGCGACCGCAGCTGCCGCACGAGGCTCACCTCGGCCGTCTGATCGAGGCGGTCGAGCTGGGCGTCCGTGTGTTTGCTAATGTCGGCGGGGTTGACAAAGTACGGGACCTTGTAGTTGGGCGTCGCGCGGGCGTGGGTAAAGGGGTGGATAGGGTTGTCAAAGACCATGCGCGGCGTCGCGGGCGTGCTGTCGCCAAAGCTGAACAGGGACGTGATCATGGGCAGCACGAAGAAGAGGAGGATGGGCAGGAGGCTGATGAGGTTCGAGAGCGGGTTCTGCTCCTGCTGCTGGCCCTGCGGTTGGCCTGCGCGAGGGCGTCCGCGCGGGCGGCCGCCGCCGAATTGGTGCACGCGGATGCCGGGGCCGCCGCCAAAGTTGAAGACGAACTCGGGGCCTGTGTCAAATGCTGTCGGGTCAGCCGTCTGTCCTTTTCAAGGTCTATGAGTCGGGAAGGGGGGGGGGGGGGGGTTCACTCACCACCAAAGCCGCCTCCGCCAAAGCCACCACCTCCACCAAAGAAGCGCGCAAACATCTCCTCGGGACTGACATCCTCGTCAAACATGCCGCCGCCTCGTGCACCAAAGCCCGGCGGTCGCCCGCCGCCGCCTGCTCTCGACGCAAAGCCCGAAAAGGGGTTCTGTGCCTGCGCCTGTCCGAACCGACTGTCCGGATCCCCACCAGTCCGATCAAACTGCTCCCTCTTCTCCTTGTCGCCCAGGACGCCAAAGGCGCGGCTAACCATTTTGAAGGCCTCGTCGGCTTTGTCGTGGCCATTCTTATCCGGGTGTGTGAGCAGACTTTGTTTGCGATAGGCCTTTTTGATGTCGGACTCTGTGCATGTCGTCTTGACACTCTCAAGAGCGAGAATGTCGTAAAAGGCAGTCGGCGCACACCGGCGGATGCGGATGACGGCCTTCTCCTGCTCGGCGGTATATGTGCGGCCCTGGTTCCCCTGTTTGTGGTCGTGGTCGCGCGCGCGCGCGGAGCCACCAGTGTCGGCGCCCGAGGCGGTTGCGCTGGGCATGGCTGTGGTCTATGAGAGAGCCGGGGGCATGTGCTGGTGGTGGAGAGGCGTTGTGTGATAGATATATATATCGTGGGGGGAGCTCGGTTACGTAGGTCGTCCGTCCTTCAGTTGCTCGTGCCAATCAGTGGGAGGGGCGTTTCGGTCGAGTGGTGCAGAATGCTGACGTATATGCGATGAATATGTGGTGAGCTTGTGAGCGTGGATGAATGAGCGACAAGCGATGGTCGTTGGTGCGAGAGATATCTTCTGTTGGACGAGGACGAGGATAAGGACAAGGACAGATATCGCAAGGACGCCGCTGATCTGGATTCTGGAGGGTCTGGAGGGTCTTGGCACTTGGTCAACGGACTTTGGCGGAGCTGTGGCGCACGTGGCGTGAGCGTGTGGCGCGCGCTAGTCACGTGGCTATTCAGTATATGTAGATTTCTGGGGATCTCAAACTCGGTCCTCAAGCAAAACCACAGTACGTGCTCACTCGCTATACATTTTTGTTCACGCCTACAGAGCTTTTCATGCCCCAATGAACGGCTGGATCTCGCTCAACATGTTCTGGTACGCAACACCGGTCGGCGGCTCCAAGCTGAACATGTAGTCGCCCCACCAAGGTCCCGCCGCCCACCATAGCCAACCCTTCCAGACGTCGCTGTTGTCCAGCAAGAAGTCCAGCTCGTTGACGACCGCCTGCTTGCAGACATCATTGCTCGCACCAGCCGTCTCGCCGAGGATGCCAATCTTGCCATTCTGCCGGAGCCACTCGGTCGCCTCCTGGAGACGCTCGACGCCAATGGTGGGGGACACGCACTCGGTGTGGGTGCCGGACGAGTCCGAGTCGAGGTACTGGTGCATCTCGTAGACGAGCTTGTCCTCCGGGTCGGAGAGGTCGAGCATGGACTCGCCGTTGCCGGACGAGACCCAGCTCCAGGCGCCGCTCCAGGCGTTGCCCTCGACCCAGATCCACTGGCTCGTGGCACCGGCCGCGCGGATGGCGTCAATGGCGGCCTGGTTGAGGTCGTGCACGAGCGAGTTCTCCATGGTGTGGTACTCGTTGTTGGTGTCGAAGATGACAAGCGCGTTGCAGGCGAAGCGCGAGGCAATCTTGGTCCACCAGGCAGAGAAACCGTCGATATCGTTGATGATGTTGCCGTAGTAGCGGCCGTAGTTGTGGGGGTCAATCACGGCATAGTGGCCCCTGGGTGATGTCAGCACGAGTCTGCTGTACGGTTATGGGGGGGCAACAACTCACTGCCCGGTGATGTGGTCGACGATGTTCTTCAGACCCTCGAAATACGTTTCGTTGATGGGACCGCTGATGTCGTCGGGTACGAGACGCTCCATCCGGGTGCCTACGCGGAAAGTGTTCATTCCCGTGGCAGCAAGTGTCTGCGTTCGTCAGCCAAGAGTTCGTGCGTGTGGCATGACATGTATATACGCACGTCCACAGACTCGGGCGTGGGCCAGATGTAGTGTTTGCCCAGCTGGCCGGGGAACACTGTCTCGCCAAACTCGCCTCCAGCTTGGTTGGTGCCAGTCCAGGTGAACTCCTGCGCGCGGACGCCGGCTGCGGCCGCCGCCGCGACGAACGACTTGGTGAAGTGCATGGTTGTTTCAAGGGCCAAAACTACGTGCTCGCGCCCGATGTCATGATTTACACAAGCTTTGTCGAAACATCTACTTATACATATACTTCTCGGAGGCAGTGCCTCCGAGGGATGTTACTATGATATGATGATCATGGCAGGACGAGGCGTGGGGATGCTAGCCAAGAAGCCGGAAAAGATGCCGAGTAAAAGACGAGCAGTTGGAGAAAGAAGCTAGAAAATGCGCTACTTTTCCCGCAAACATTGTTTCACGGTGAGTAGTACTGCCGATGATAGCCCATGAGAGCAATCTCGGTACGTGTCGCTCCGCATCGTGGCCTGCCCCTGTTACGGATCGTGTGGGGGAGCAGGGGTTCTTCTGAACAGGAGGAGGACGACCAAAGGAGCTGCGCAACCGTCAGAACAACAGATTAATTGAAGGACTGTAGACTTAAGCCATCTTCGGATCACGGCACCTGTCTGCTGGTACGTGGCCGCATTGGCGTCTGGGCACGCCAAGTAGTGTTCCAAACTGCTTAACCAGGGCCAACCAGGCTTAACGTCATTCAAACCCTCGTTGCATTAATGAGTTTCCATCTTCATGCCCAAGTCTTCCTCCTCCTGTCTGGCAGCAGCTCCATTCTTCTCCCTCACAGCACCTTCACTCGCCTTCTCCTCAGCATCCCCCGTCCGCCTGGCTTCCCCTGATCCAACCTCGTGCCTCCTCCTATTCTTCCCGTGAACATAACCCATCTTCTTCTTGCCATCGGGCTTTCTATCAGGCGGCAACGGCTTGCGTCGGCTCTTGGGTTTTCTCTGCTCAATCTGGGCATGGTAGTCGATGCCTGTTTTACTTGCTCGCGCAGGCTGAAAACGACCTCCTTGTGTCCCTGGGGCAAACGAGACTCTGCGTCGGGGGCCATGGGTCTGGGTTCGTCGTCTTGGTTTCTTTAAAGAGGGTCCAGGCTGTTCTGTCACGGATTCTCTCCTTTTTAAGATAGACTTATTCATCTGTTGGGCGGGTTGTCGCTCGATAGCTGCAGTAGAAGACTGTGTGCTGGCAGCAGGGGTCGCGCTCGAGGAGCCAGCTGTTTCTCCTTCAAAGACTGGGATGTTGTCCAAGGTCCCCTCTGAAGCGGAGAGTTCATCGAGTGGCTCCGACTTGATCTGTGAGTCAGGGGAAGTTCCGCCCTTCGTGCGTAATGGTAAGTCGTTCATCCTGGGTAAGAAGTGATACTCGATTACATCTAATGGTAGTGGGCTGTGAGTTCGTGGAAGATGAAGATTGTGATTTTCTATGTCAAGTAGGCGCAAGGTTTAATTAAATAGGGTAAGGTATGGTTCTGTGTTGATTTCTTGGTCTTGCCGTGCTTGCCTCCCGCCGACCCCCATGGTCACTGAGATCCGGCACCGCGACTGCCCCTTCGAGAAGACATGGGTCTTTGGGTTAAAATTCAATCATCTCTCTAATGAGGTACCTGCAGTTAGTAGAGTCTTGCTTATGAGTGAAGCAAGAGATCAAGCAACATGCTTGGTTCAGGTGCGTACATTTTGTAGGGGTCCCACGGCCTCAGAAGGTAGTAGTTCAATCTCAATATATGAAGTACGATGCTTAGTGGGCTGGGTATGGTATTCAGGAGTTGAATCACCACTTATTGGTTCATCTCAGTTCTCCTCGCAAAACCTCCTCGTCTGAGCGAGTGATTCGTGAAAGATCGACCATCGCCATGCCATGTCGATTTGCTACACGATTTAACCAGTCATCGCCATGCCCCTCGAAGAATAACATCCGAATATTACCTGGTCTTTACGTCGACTCTATCTTTTGTCACATCCAAGAGTGGCTTCTCCTCGGGCGGCATCACCTGGTGCTCCTCAGTCGTCAGGCTGAGTCACCTTCAACACCTTGTTAGGTCCAACGGAGCCTCCAGTCGGATCGAAGCCACCAGAGAAATGAAGGAGAAGTAGGCGGGTCCCAAATAGAAATCCAGGCAAAAGAAGACCAACACGGTCCTAAGGTAGAGGAAGTGGACTAGTGAACGATGCCAGTCCACATAGCCAGATTGATGGAGGAGAGAAAGGGGGAAAAGAATACCAGCCGAAGACTTTGATAATTATTTCGACGCAGAAAGCGGCCTTGCCGACTTTTGCACGCTGATCCCGATGCCTCTTCTTGGCCCCTTTGCGTCGAGGCGGATGCAGTCAAAGGGTACAGACTGACTGGCCACTACGCACAGCCAACCCATCAATGTGTACAATACAGAAATAGAAGTGTCCATGCCTGTTGCGCAGCCCAGTTTCTCGTTTGAAAAAGAACAAAAAAATTGAAGAAAAAAAAAGTCTTGTATCATCATTAGGTACTGGCGATCTACCATGGCCTCCATACACTCCATCCGCCATACAGTTCCTCCATTCTCTGTCTTCACCTCTTTATTGCCTATCGTCTGGTCTGATATAAACACCATGTCTGAGATCACAAACATTCCCGTTCCCACCATTCGTCTCATGCCTCCAGACGGCGGCGACAGTCGACCGCCAGCATCATTGACGATTGCTCGTCTCAAAAGTTTTTACTCAGCCATCATCCGTTGAGACGAGATGGTTTGTGCCTTTAATATCTTTGAAGTGATCGCAACGCTAGGCTAGTTGTATTCTCGCCCCCATAGTTAGTGATTTTGCCAGGGGTTCCGAAGTGCGTAACCTGGGCCCCGTTGTCGTTGGAACGGGTTATCGTAGTCGCTGGACGTGAGCTTCATCATCTCCTGGAACCAGTTCAATCACTCCTCGGTGATCTCGATATTCATCTCCAACGTCTCGATGACAGCATTGAAAAGCGTCACGCCGTCAACCAGGCCAGCTCTGTGTGTATCCATAGCTGGTAGAACCGAACCGCTGGCTACACAGTCCTTCCTCAATCAGGTGGAGAAGCTACGACAGGTTGCTGTGGTATTGCTTGATCTCATCGATCATATCCTTTGTCGCCTCCTCGACCTCAAGGTTGTTCCAACATTGATTCTGGAACTCCAGATCCCACCCTCCAGATCCCACCAAGAACGGGGTAGGGCTAGACCACGCGGGATCGGTCTGCCCTCCTGGGCACCGCGTAGAACAGCGGCGGGCTCTACCTCTGAGATCATTGGAGTCAAGTGCGAGGTCGTAAATGAAGGAAGCTGGTGAGAGTTTTCCCCAGTGGTGACAAGTTGGCATTGGTATTCGTGGGCAGCTCGCGCGCGGTGGTCGCGTTCAATTTGGCGTCCCGCGGATCATGACATTGTCAGATATTTTGTAGACCATGAGAAAGAGGGTTTCAATGCAACAACTTACCAGGGATGTGCTCTGGTTCGAAGAGCCTTCAAGGGGCATTGCTCGCTGCCCGTACGCACCCGGCCGCCGCTGTCCCCTTCGACGTCCACAGACGACGCGAGGCATCGGGCGTGAATTTGAGGTTCGCTTGAAGTGATTATTGAGCCTCTTGCATGAAGTTTTTGATATTAATGTCCCATGCTTTTGAGCTCTGATTTGAAGCGAGGATCGAGAACGAAGTCGACTGACTGACTGGGCGTTGTTGTCGACGGCGGCCTTGCCGTCGCTCCCTTGGAATCTCTTAGTGTTCCTCTCCGGCATTACGGGTGTCAAGAGAGGAGCATGCTCGAGAGAGCTCCTGCAAGACATGCTTTATTGCGTATTGTTTCCCTCGCCGGCTCCTATGCACTGTTTTCCATTGATCATAAGGGGTGCCGTCAGCGTCCTAGTCTGGTGAAGATCTCCTCCAGGATGAGAGCAGTGGCGTTGTTGTTCCTGCCTCCTCACTGTTTGTGGGGCTTATGATGACAGACTTTCCACAATGAGTCGTGAGCTCTGAGTTCGGCAACTTCACCTCTGGATTGAGGAGCCACAGAAAAGAAACAGAGGAGCTTTGGAGCACTATTTGCAGGGAACGTGAATGTAGTTTGATAAGCTGGAAGACCCGGGGACGATAGTAGTGGACGGGCCTGGATGCCGGGGTTGTAGTGTACCGTACCAAGAGTCATGATATAGATTGCGTTGAAATTGTGATGGTGGTGACTGGTACCAACTATTTCCTTAAAACCGAGATTGGACGTGTTGTCAAGCACCTGGCAGCCAGGAGAAAATATGGTTCTTCTGCAGCATCGAAATTGGTTTCCGGCAGGCAGAAGCAATGTTCCAGAGGCTGTGGGATTCGTATTTTTGGCGTGGAGTGCCTTGGATAGACTTCAGCTACTCTGCTTAGTAACGCCTCTTCGGATCCCGCGTGCCTTGGTCCCTTCCGCCTCCTAGTGGGCACCGGAGGCGACTTGGGCGTGCGGCCGGCCGGCCACATTTTGCTGCCCGTGGATGTGGTGCGGCTGGTGGTGGTGATGCTTGTTGTGGCGCTGATGCGAGGTTGTTGTCGAGTCACTCCCCTGTGGCGTGAGGAGGAATCCTCATCCCCAGCGACTGTTCTCTAGCCTCGGCCGCCGTGCCTCCAATATCCCTCAGCATCTTCTTGTGGGAAATTCCGTACCGGCTGCCTAGGGGGTCCGCCTTGCAAAAGTAGTCCCAGACACCTAGGATGTGGTTCTTTGCAAGTGCCTCAACGTGGCGGACGCCATTTGGGGGGGTTTTCCTTGCCCTTGTGTGTGGAGCGCTTCTTTGCAAACCACTTGATGGTCGACTTCACGGTAGCTCCAAGACTTCACGGTGGCTCTAGGGTCGGGCTCGTGCTCCTCTTCGTCCTGTTGTACTATCCACGCAGCCAAGGGCGTCGGGGGTGTTGTCGCGGCCCCATCGAACGAATGCCCATGTTTTGAGGTTGATGTGCAATGGATGTTTGACAATTCACTGTGAACTGACAAGTCTCCAGCTGATCAGTGGCTTCTCCAAGGAGGATCGTTGGCAATCCATCCTGATGGGCTGGATTGACGAGGAGGAAGTAAGGTGAGATCCTGACAGGGGAGCGTTGCTGCTAGGCATAGGACGATCTTGAATGGGCGGCGGCGGAGGATGCGCCAGCCTCGTGA